AAATGGCTGGGTTTTTGCTAGAGGCTGTTTCATTGGCTTTTATGCTGCTTAAACACATCACGCCCCCTGCGTCCATAATTCTCTTTACCAAAGACTTTTTCTAAACAAAGTTATTATAGAACTCGTTTTCGAAAAGATTTTTTTTTAACCTGAAATATAAGGAGTTAATACAAGAGCAGCTAACAGTTCGCTAAGTTTAGAATACCCTGTATTAGAGAATGAAACTGCCAGCAACCCACCTTTTACTTATTTTTTATTTTTATTTTTTAAATATATTTTATTGATTTTTTACAGAGAGGAAGGGAGAGAGATAGAGAGCCAGAAACGTCGATGAGAGAAACATCAACCAGCTGCCTCTTGCACACCCCCTACCGGGGATGTGCCCGCAACCAAGGTACATGCCCTTGACCGGAATCGAACCTGGGACCTTTCAGTCTGCAGATCAACTCTCTATCCACTGAGCCAAACCGGTTTCGGCCCAGCAACCCACCTTTTAATCACCTGTGTGAGTTACTTAGGCATTGCTTCCACGTCTTTGCAGTGAAGGCAAAGTGGGTGGTGCATCTTAAGAACTGGTGTAGCTGCTTTAGAATCAGAACATGGAACATGGGGACACAGCCCGGCAATGGCATTGGTTTTCCCGGGAGGGAGACTCTTGTTGAAGTCCTGGCTGAGCAGGCCTGCAGGGAGGACTGCTTTACCGCTCTCCCAGCCCAAGTGAAATAAGCCATTTGACCAGCAGCCACTTCCCCAGCATCTTCTGCCCCGAACTGCCAGCCCTCTAGTCATCAGTCTGGGTGTTTCCTAGAATTACCCAGCGGTGGCCTTGTGTGAGATGATGTGGGTCAGGCTTCTGTGAGGACCCGCCAGCTAACGGGTGTCCAGTTCTAGGCCACTGCCATTCTTATCTTCTGCTGTGTTACTGTGCCTGCTTCTTAGAAGTCACCAGGAAGATGCATTTCACTAGTTTGAAAAATGAGTCAGATTCCAGGTAGTCAGCCTGCCGCAGGTCTGCAGCATCAGCGTTTTCTCTCCGCTTGCAGGCACTCCGGAAACCAGTGTGTATAACTGCAGGGCCCATTGCCATTTCATCCGTCGTCGGAGAGAAACGGGAGCGCGTGCCTGGGTGCAGGGAATGTGCAAGCTCATTACCGGGAAGCATGTGTTTAGATGTTCAGATACACGTAGCTCTCAGCTCTGCTCAGTGTTGCAAAAGACATAGAGAAGCCAAATTCATATTAGTTTTAGCAACTTATTGAAAGCAGGTGTATGTAGGCTTAAAAAAAAAAAAAATGCCAGGGGCGAAGAGCCGAACATTTTGTCATACTGGTTTGCCTTCTGAGAGAATGACAATGGTCACAATGGCTCCTGGCCATTCTAATCGAAACAGCAGAAAGCCTTCAAAGAAGAGAAAAATCTGCCGGTTGTGAGAGGTTTGTGATGTCACGGTGGATGTTGTGATTAACTGTCAGAACTCTCAGTTGCCAAATTCAGCGTCTAGCCCAAGTTGGTATTTTTGAGAGTTTTAAAAGACTGTGCTAGTTAGGTGATTAGTGTTTTATTTCAGTTCACCAACCAACCATAGACAATTGCTCTTCCTGTGGTTTCCCGGCAGCTCAGACAGGCAGCTGGCTATTGTTTCCACGCCAGCCGTGAAGCAGCACTGATATATTTTGTTTAATATTAGCCCTTTTAATAAGCGATAAGGTGTACTTGGGGGCATTCAGTTCGTTGTAATGGTACTGTAGGCTTTGAAACAGCAACAAACTCTCCTGTTCTTGGAAGCCCACTGTCTTGCCAGGAGACCTCTGTGTTTCTTAGCTTTGGCTCCTTGTTCAGTGGATATTAATGATCCACGGTGGTTGAGTTGCCTCGTGTCCTGATATGGAAAGACCTTCACCTGGGATTTAGGAGCTTGCCGAAGCTCCTTTAAATTCTAGCCTCTCTTCCACCTGCTAACTTGTCCATCTCCTTCTATCTTATGAAAAATTCATTGCTGCTTATGTGATCCTATTATAGAAAATTTAAAAAACAGAGGAGAAAAAACTATGGCAACCATCGTGCAATATTTTCTTTGTCTTTTTTCCCTATATATATTTTCATTTGCTGTGTGTGTGTGTGTGTGTGTGTGTGTGGACTGTATGGGTGTGAGTGACAGAAACCTAGTTCCAACAAGCTTGAGCAAAGAGGGGAATTCATTGTGAGGACTGGGTGTCTCTGAGCCTAAGGACAGGGACCTGGCGAGGCCTGAGGATTGGTGCGAGTGGGCCGCACCTTCCCAGCCTTTCAGCTGTCTTTCTCTCCGGCTTCTTTCTCTGTTTCTGCCTTTGTCTTTCTCTCTCATCCAGTTGTTTTCCACGTGGAGGAAAACATATTCGAAGAAATCTCCCAAGTTTAATTTCTTTCCCCTTCATCTATCCCAGAGAGTTCAACCCAATTCTTGTGATCACAAGACCTAGCATGCAAAATGGCAGTTTCTGGGGTAACCGTTTGGGGTGAGGGGGGCTCAGCAGGGATTTCTGTCTCTTGGCCCCCAGGTATGCTTGGGTCTTTTCTTTTCGTTTATTCAGTTCCCCACCTGCCCCTACCACCATAATCCTGCCATCCCTTGTCAAGCTGCAAACCCATCCCCTTCCCCATGGGAGGCAGCCCTTGGTCTTGTTCAGCTGCAGCCTCGTGGTCTTTGTAGGCCCTACAATGTAGGGCCACTGTCCTCCAGGCCAGGCGCTCCAGGCAACGAGCACTCCTCTGTTTCAGGTGTGAGCAGGTCCCGGTGAAGTTTGTCCTCTTCGATCCCCTGTGGCCTAAAATAATTTTAACTGCACCACCAGTTGGTGTGCAGAGCCTCTTGATTCCTCTGAGGCTTGTTTTTCTAACCAATCTTAACTAAAACGGATTTCCGAGTTCCAAAGGTGGAAATTGAAGCAGATCCTTCCTCCTCGGGTGTAAGGCTTTACCCAGAGAACAGGCTCAGCAGGGCCATGAGGCTTGCTGTGGTTTCTCCCATCCCAGGTGAGTGGCTCTGGACAATACAGGGGGACTCTCCCCCTCCAGGCCAGGCACACAGGAGATGAGGTGAGCTCCAGATTATGGCAGTGGAGTCGCCTCCTGGAAAAGAAATGCAGGGACTGGAGGGTTTGTCCTGCCACCGCAGACTGTCCCGGAGAGAGCCACTTGGCTTTCCCTTTTAAGGAATTAACTGGGCAACATCCTGGCTCTTAACCAAGAATGACCAGGTATTTGAGGGTCAGACTCCCATGCACAGGAGGGTAATCCCTGAGCTTTTAGAGTTAGTGCTAAAAGCCAGCCATATTTTTAAAATAACATTTGTGCCAAAATTCAAACCCAGTATAAGCAAGTTGGCCTGTTTTTAAATCAATAGCTACAGAAACCAGTTAATGTGCAAGACAATATAGAGACAAAAGAAGAGACAAGCTCATTACAAGATGGCATTGCTGAATGGGCCCATATCTCAAAAGCATGTTCCTAGGAAACCTTCCAGCTATCACCTGCACATCACACACACACACACACACACACACACACACTGCTCCCATGGAATCTGTGTGATGACGGTACAATTTCTAGCAAAGCTAGAGGATAGGCAGACAAATAAAGAGTCTATCCAGTATAATTATAACCATAGTGTATTTTAAATTTTTTATTCAGCCCAGCCAGTATGGCTCAGTGGTTGAGCATCAACCCATTCCTGGTCAGGGCTTACAGGCTCCATATCTAGTAGGTATTCTCATTTTTTAAACAGAGGAAGGAGAAGGATAGAGAGAAACATCAATGAGAGAGAAACATCGATCAGCTGCTTCCTGCACACCCCTACTGGGGATGTGCCACAACCAAGGTACAACATGCCCTGGACTGGAATCGAACCTGGGACCCTTCAGTTTACAGGCCAACGTTCTATCCAACTAGCCAAACCGGCTAGGATGTATTCTCATTATTGATTTTTTTTTTCTCCCTCTATCTGAAATCAAAAATGTATTTTAAAAGTTTAGATTCCTTATTTTTTATGTAATAATGATTATAAGCATTTTTCTATAGTGTAGCTTTTTCCACATGCTGTTTTAATGATTATGTAATGCTTCATTGTGTGTCATAATTTATTTCAGCCATGTAGATATTATTGGCAATTCAGACCTTTCTAGTTTTTTTGTATTTATAAAATGGGATATAATGAGTATCATTGTGCACAGAGCTTCTTCCATATCTGGAATTATTTCTTCACGATATAGACATGGGATTATAGGACCAAAAATATGATCATGTTTATACTTTCCAGAAAGACTGCACTAACAATTTTCATCACTACCAACAAGTGAATTTCACTACCTTTGGCTAGTTCCTTTAAAATTTTTTAAAAATTTATTGAGCATAAAATGTGCATTTTTATTTAAACTGTATTTTGAGTATAAGTGAGAAGTAATTTGGGTTATGTTTTTTATGCATTTTTAATAACATATCTCTTTTGAAATCTTGGTGTTTTATTACTATCAATATATAAACTCATAGAATGGGAGCTGTTTTCCTTACTTTGCTTTAAACATTTCCACATAATTCTTTGCCCTTTAAAATTTCCTAAGTGTGTATGGGTGTGTGTGGGTGTGTTGGAATTCTTCTTTATCATGGAGTCTTGGAAGATAGCTGAGTTTTAGAAAGTGAAATATAACTAAGAGAAGGAAGTCAGTTAGAAAGCTGAGCGTACTCTCTACCTCAGGGATTGTTTCAAAATCCCTGTCCTTGTCACATTAAGTCATAAGCCAGTCCCTCTGTAGGAAAGACTGTCACTCAGAATAGGGGCCCTGGTCCTGGTCCTGACTCAGCTGTTGTCCAGCCAGGTGCCTTTGGTGGGAACTACCCTCTCCATCCTCAGCTTCCTCAGGTCTAGCTGGTGGGTTTAGGAACTTTTGGGGGCGGAGGTCTCTGTGGTTCGTGCCCCAGGTGAAGAATCATGTTGACCAGGAAGGTTCTTCTCCATCTCATTGCAGATTTTTGGAAGTCCCAGCACAGTGACGCTTCCTGAAACCTTGTTGTTTGTGTCAACCCTGGATGGAAGTTTGCACGCTGTCAGCAAGAGCACAGGCTCGATCAAATGGACTTTAAAAGAAGGTAATTTGGATTTGGTCCTTGGGTGACATGGACATGTGCTCTGCTGCCCCCAAAGAAACGTATTCCAGAAAAAGAGAAAAGCAGTTATATGTTACTTAATAAAATAAAACAACGCCATCTTGTAATGGAGTCAAGGAGAGGATAGGGCTCAAAGGTATGTTTACAGCTTAGATTATCTGATAAGTACATCATTTGAAGAGACACTGGTGGGCTATGTGTTTTTTGTTGTTTTGCTTTGTTTTGTTTTTTGCTTCTGTCCATATTTCTTGTTTAAAGGGCTTTAGGCTTCTATTAATAGTTCTGGCTTGATCTTTACAGAACACATGCTGCATTAAATTTTTTTGTTACGTTCTAATAATTAAAATCTTGTAATCATAATTACAAGAAGGTATCTTCTCTAACCGCAAATGACTCATTTGCTTTTATAGAGGCTGGAATAATTGAGGGCTGTAAGATTTGACATTCATCCAAGTTGGCCACTTGATAGGCTCTCTACATGGAGGGAAGTAAAAGACAGACCTGATTCTCCTTTCGTAACCTACCACAGTTATGGTCTTGTCTTCCTGGTGATAGTGGAGTCCTACAGCTGGGAAACTGTATTCAATTTCCCAAGTAATCTTCCCCGGCAAAGCCATGCAAATCCCAGGATTTGCTGCTTTCCGTGTCATCTCTATTATTCTGTCCAGTAATGATCCTCACTTGGGCCCAGACGAGGCCCTGACCAGTGTGTTCCGTCACTAATCCGTGACTCATTATTGTTATGAGCACAGCAAGTGTTTTTCCTTCCTTAATCAAATGTCCCCAAATAGTACTTCAGATGGGAAAGCAGGGGCCTGTGTCAGAGGACACACGTCATCCTGTCAGTGTAGCAGCAAGCCTCGTTACCATCCACAGAGGATGGCAGCTGAGGCACCACGGACTGTCCTGCAGCACCTGGCGGGTCCTGCTTGGATCAGCAGGAGCTCTAAGCAGCAGAAAGGACCAGCTCTCAGGAGTCAGTGGCCACAAGAAGATGGGAGAGCTGGGTTTTGGCATTGCATTGCAGGATGTTATCTGTACCGTTTCTCATTCCTGTGTAAGCATTTTACTGCTTAAAAAAGAAAAAGAAAAATCAGAGTTGTTGATTTTTCACAATTTCTGATTTTGCCCAAAGATGAAAATCAACAAGGTGCAGTGATCAGCATTTTTACTCTTGTGTTAAGGCTGGTCCCTTAGTTGCAGTATTCCCAGACAGGAGGACATTATTGCCCTAAGGACACTTCATTCTTCCGCTTTGCTTTTTCCTGTATGCATTGTTTTAAATTGGCCTTCTCCAGGTCTTACTTTCCAGAAGCAACCTCATCCATATCGGGCACAACGGGGTCCTGTCTTGTTTGTTATTTAGTCAAACATAAGAATCAATCTGTTCTCTCCAGTAGTTTAGAGCTTAAAGAATTTGCTTCTGCCCCCAGAGCACATATCCATGTCACCCAAATTTTTACTTAATTTAACTTGTGTTTATAGGACCTAGTCTGTGAGAGATACTCTAAGGGCCCAGAGAAGAAAAAGACAGTGCTTGCCCTCAGGGAGCCCACAGTCTGGCAGGGAGAACTTCCTCATAGAGCACCGGTGACCGCCTCACTGAGGTCCCAGGAACTGCTGGAGGGAGGGGGCCAGGAAGGGCTTCATGAAGCTGGGATGTTGGAGCTGAACCTTGGTGGGTAGATGGGATTTCAGTCTGGAGAAGTGAGGCCTGGGAAGGAGAGAAGGAGGGAGCACGGCTAGGCAGAGCAGAGAGGAGGTAAAAGGCACTTACAGGAAGAATTAGAGAAATGTGATTAAGATCTGATAATCTCCATATTCAGTATATTCTAAGTCTCATTGTTTTTCTTTGAATAAACTGGCTTATTTTAGTGAAATTTAGCCTTATCTGTCAATAGCCTCGATATATTGTATATTTCTTTACAAAGATTACAGGTGATAATATGGAGACCCTGAGCTTTCAGTTCAGTTGTATTTTTTTTTTTTTTTTCAGAGAAGAAGGCAGAGGAGAGGGAAAGAGATGAGAGAGAATCAGTGATGAGAGAGAATCGTTGATCTGCTGCCTCCTGCATGACCCCCAGTTGGGATTGAGCCCACAACCCGGGCATGTGCCCTTGACCGTTTGAAGCTCCATCCACTAAGCCAAACGAGCTAGGGCCAATTTTAACTTGCAGTTATAACCAGAGATTTCAACATTGGTATTTGCAAACCATTAACAAGTAAATAGATTATAAATGTTCTAGGCCCTGAGGATGTAAGTGAAGGAAACATAAAGCTTTTATTCTATGGGGAAACAGATAAGGAAATAAATGACATTCCAGTGCTCTGGAGAAAAATAAGGAAATAAATGACATTCAAGAGCTCTGGAGTAGGGGGCGCCAGGCTGCTGGGGTTGGGGTGGAAAGGGCTGCAAGTTTGAACAGGGTCAGCCCCACTGAGAAAGAGCTCAAGGAAGGAAGGACCAAGGATCCTCAAGTTCAAGGAACCCAACCATGCTGTCACCTGGTCTTTGACTTCTCATCTGAAGAACTGAGAAATAACACCAGGCTACGGTATTTTGTTACGGCAGCCCAGCCAAGCTGACTAGAACACCCAGCCTCTGCCGTACAGCATCAGCAGGTGCTGTGCTGAGATTGAACTGATGGGAGGAAGCGAGAGACCAGGCAGGGGCTACTTCCCCAGTCCAGCCAAGGAAGGCTGTGGGCTTGGGCCTGCACAGTCGTGGGCAGTCAAAGTCAAGTGGAAAAGCCTTGCTGATGCAAACAGATACCTTTAATGCATCCCACTGGGGTTCTGCAGAATATACTAGTGTACCTGCTACTCCATTTCATGGTTTCCCAACTGTTTACTTGTTTCAGAGGCCAACAAGCTGGGGGTGTTTTTTTTTTCTTTCCACAGAGTGGTTTTGGCAGGTGTTGTGTTCCTCACACAAACACGTGTTGCTGTTCCCAGAAAGGGAGATTTCTTACACCATCGTGGCAGGCTGCACCTAGTGCGGAAAAAGAGTTTTGTTTTCCAACACCGAGTTGAGTTCTGACACTGTGCATGATCTGTGCTCTTTCTAAGCTGTGATTTTTGTAACAGTAGTAACCTGCTGTCTGTCTCTGAAATATCACCACTGAAGATGGTTGAGTATGTTTTATTTCTGCACTTTCTGCCCAAATGCAAACAGAGAATATTGCCCTCATGCTTTCTGTTGGATTAGTTTTACGAAGCTCGCTTCGGCCTGCTGAGGTCCAAAGGACTCTCTCTGGTATTGCCAGCTTCTGGTTTAGGGCTTCTTGCACTTAATTTGAAATGTTATGCTACGTGTGGTGGCTATTAGTTAATGATGATTTTTGACACTCAGATCTTCATCAAATTGCACTTAACTCTTTAGCAACCCTGCTCCCAACCCCTTCATGGCACGGAGGACTGGATCTAATTTAGAACCACACTTTACTAATTGTAAAAATATGCTAACTGTGCAACATGGCTGCTTTCCCAACCAGATGGGCCCGGACTCCTGACATGTCCCTTGAATGGTTCATATTGGGGATTCTTATGAAGGAGGGAACAGAACTAAACTGGTTACTTGAAATTTGAAGAAAATCTTCCCACATGAGTTTCTCTTTCTTAGCGTGTGCCTCTTGCTATGGATTCTCCCGGTGCGTACAGCACGGCCCTCCCAGGCTGGGAAATAGAGTGATGCTCTGCTACTCAGTCACCGAGACCTGTCACGCAGGCTGAAGAAGTGTCTCCAAAATCTGACTCCCCATCCCCATCCTCCTTGCCAGTGCTTAGCCAGGCTCCCCATTCATTTCCCCGATTAGTGCGACAGCTTCCTGACTGGTCCCTGCACCTGTCTTATCCTCCCGTTCACCCATCACGCTGCTGTCACACATGCCCCCTGGAAAGACTGATTGACCACACCACACCGCCGCTAAAATACTCTTGGTGTTTGCTGTTAGCAGTACTACTCCAGGTGTGGTCTGCCCTCCTGTGTTACCTGTCCACGAGGAGAGAAGTACAGAGAGAGAGAAGCATCACCCATGGTGTGATCCTCCACTGATTAGTTTGGGGAGCACTGGCTCACAGAGTCAAGGCTACACTCCTCGGTATGCATGCAAGGCCCTTCGAATCTGCTCTTGCCCACCTCTCCAGCCTCAACTCCCTATTTTCCCCCAGGGTTGCCCCTTGTTCCAGCCACAACTCCTCTCCAGGCCTCGGAGACACTGGGCCTTTGCTTCTGCCCCCTCCTCTCCAGCAGCCTGCACTGCTGGGCAGCTCCTATTCGTTCCAGGTTACCTCCTTGTTTCCTCAGGGTGAGCCCCTTCCTCAGGTGGCTGTTGGAGGCACTTCCTGCTGGCGGGGTGAATTTTTGTTACCTTTGTCTTCCTGCTGAATTTCTAACTCCTTGAAGGTGGGGTCTCTAGACACCCAGGGATGCTCAGTGAATGTCGGGGGCACCTGATGCCCACTCGAGTTCCAGAATCCTCCTGACTAGATGTCCTTTAGGAGCCCTGACAAACAGATGAGACTTGCCTCTGCCTCCTCAGGAGACTCACTTGCCACTCGTGCCACCGTCACCTTAGTTTCCAGGGCCAGTTTCTGATCTGAGTTTCACATGGCTTTGTGGCTTTTGCAGGAGGCTTTCTGTCCTCGGTTAGCTGTGTGCCTCTGGAAGTGTCCGACTTCTGCCCGCAGAGGTGTGAGGGAAACGTGAGAAGGGAAGTTGTGGGAAAGGTTGACATTTTGTTAATCGTCCTAATCTCTCTTCTCCTAAGAACCTTCCTAGGCTTCAGATAGGCATCGCCACCTTCCTACTTTATCTGCAAAGCATAAGAAAAGTGTTTCTTTGTACTCCATCGTCTTGGAGGACTGAAAATTAAGTTTCACAAGAAGGGACATGAGAGAGCCTGTTTCTGCTTTTGAGGATCTTGGAAATGTGTTTTCTATATTTTACTCTTTGTCATGCAAGATTCTAACCATAAGCAGACATAGAGATGATTATATAATGAACGCTCAGGTACCCGTCACTCAGCTTCAGCCGTCACCAGCTGGTGTCCAGTCTCAAATGTGCCCGCGCACAGCCTCCCTCACGCTCGGGACCAGCTTCAGAGCCACACACTCCCGTTGTGGCGATGTCTCTCAGCCCACGGCCACCGCACATAGCATTGATTTCAACCGCACTGGGCAGTCTTTGCTGCCTTACTTGGTATGTATCAGAGCACAGTTGTAAATGTTGAAGTGCATGAATAAAATCCGCCCCCCCCTTTTTTTTTTGCTGTGCCTTAGTTATTTATTTTTTTGTTCATCTTGGGATACCGTGTGAGGTTTGATGGCACTCCCATCACTCAAGAATGAATTCTGTGAAGTTAGGACATGCTGAGAGGCATCTGGTTGTAAGTCATTGCCTTATCCTCCCCCTTTAATTTTCTTTACAACTGATTGTACTGTTCATTGTGTGTTTTTAGGTCTGACTGACTTCTGCCAAGGTGAATAAGAGCCTAGTAGAAGTCAGCTGCCTTTCGTATGGGCAGGTTTTTAGGTTATTTTGGTATCTCCCCATGATTGTTTTCGTCACGTATGACATTTGGTGACTTGCAGAGGTTACCTGTAAGAAAACCTGTTACGTCCTCTTCCAGTTCTGATGAGATTGGATTTTTAGGCACTTTGGGTGACTATTTTAAAGTGTTCTCCTCATGCAAGCTGAATTTTGAGAAACTTTTTGAGACTTTCTTCCCCACAGTTTGGATCTAACAACTGAATGGGAGTGAAGGGTGTAGACTCCGGAAGTGCTTTCCTCTGGAGGGAGCACTGAGCTGCCACCGGGGAGTAGTCCCTAATCATCTCACCTGAGCACGAGAAACATATTTGGGAGACTTGAGTTTTGAGTTAAGGGAGGGTGAATGACCTTGGTTCTATCAATAATTTTCATAAGGAAACAGTGTTAGTACCTTAAGCATTTTCTTGAGGAAGTGGCCTTTGTCTACTGCAGTCAGACTAGCTGATCTAGTTTTACTGTTGGCTAGGATTAAAATGGTGTGCCCTCTACCTCATTCCTTTCTTTCACTCCACTTTTCTGATTGGGACTAAGTTTTGTTGGCCTTTCCTCCCTCCTTTTCGGTTCCTGACCATCCCTCCTTTCCCCGCCGGGGCCCACCCTGGCCATCTGACTGGGGTTATTGAGTCGTCTTCCTCATTACACTTTCTGGTTCCTTCTTTTTCTCATTCGCTTAGTGCCCTGTCTAACCTTTTTTCAGAGGACTGTATCACATCTCTGTTTTTCTCAGAAGCTTCCCGTCAGTTCCTAGGCAGTGCCCGCCACGCCACATCACATCACGGAGTCTGACGCTTTCTCCCCCACGGTCTCGCTGCCTGCTGTCCAACCTGATTTGCATTCAGGAGGAACACTTCACACTTGCCAAGCCTGTGTCCTCATTCCCACAAAGCGGTGATCGTTCTTCTCTCTTGTCTTGTCCGCCGCAGCCGCCGGGCCAGCCCTCTTCATGGCACGGTTCTCCCTGAGTGCACAGCCTTCCCGAGTTCTCTCACCTGGTGATCTGTGACTCCTATGGCACATGCCACGTGTTCCAGCCATTTATTGTATGCTTGGTTTCGTGTGTACCAGCTTTCCAAGCTCTTTTTCCCGCATGGCATGAACCAGGGAACCAAGCTGATGGTAGATGTCTGATGTGTTTATGGGACGTGTGTACTAATAGTGGGATAGGAGGGGAAAATGAGGCTCTTGAATATTGGGGCTGGGGGAGGTTTGCAGGGAGCACAAAGCAGATGGGAACTTCATTTGTGGTCTTTGGTGCTTCATAAGGGCCAGCTCAGAACATCTCCAGTCCCCGCTAAAAGCGCACTTAGAAGGGGCTGGTTTGGAGACTTTCCAGCTGGTCCTGGCATCTTAGTTGTACCTGGAGAAGTCTTGCAGTCAGAGAAGCTGGTTTTAAGCACCCGTGTGTAGGGGTCAGTAGGTGGTTGTGCTTTAGAAAGAAGAGTGAGGTCAACGGGTGCTCATCTAGATTCTGCCAGAGAAGAGGGTGTTCCGGAAATATCAGCTCATCTGGGGAAGAGGAGGCAGTGATCTTGGAAGGTACTTTGAGCTCCAGTCAAATGGGCAGCCTGTTCTTGTGGCTTCTATAATCAAAGGGCATTATTCCTTCCTACATGGGAGAAAGTCTGCCTGGAGCTACCTCCAGAGAGAGGCCGTCAGTCCCGATTGCTCCGGTTTAAAACAATTATTTAAATTTTGGTTGACTTTATTAGAGACTTTTTTCTGTTTTGCCAACTTTCCACTCCCATGTTTCCCCATCATTGATGCTACTCTCTCTCTCCCTTTCCTTTCCTCTCTGAAATCATTAAAAACATATTTTTAAAAAAATAACACTAGAAATACACAAATGTCCACCAACAGGTAAAGCAAATTGTGAGTACTCCTTCCGCCATAATAAAAGAACAAAGTCTGAGGCACACAACAATAAGAATGAATTGCAAAAATGTGGTGCAGGAAGAAAGAAGGCAGACACAAGAGAGACCCTACTACATAAATTCCATTCATAAACTTTTAGAACAAACATACCAATCTGTCAGTGGTTAGATGGGGTGTGGGAGTCAGGGAAATTGCACCTAAATGGGTGTGAGAAATGTTCGGGAGGATGAAAATGATCTATATCTTGATTGTAAGGATGGTTACATGCATGTGTATGTTTTTCAAGACTCATTGAATTGTGCGTGTAAAGTGGATGCATTAGGAGAGAAAGGAGAGCACATGCTAAAGAGAATGAGCTCAGTCTGTGGTCAGAGGGGAGGCAGTAGGCAGCCAGGAGGACTTGGCGATCCTTGGAGATGGGATACTGCTTGAGGGCCTAGATAGATGAGTGTGACATGTCTATGGATGTGAAGGTGAAACCTTTGCCCGGAGATGCGAAGGGAAGTAGCGTTGGACACACGTGGAGGGAAAAGGGTGGGGAGTTTCAGAGAGCCCCGGGAGGCCCAGCGTGTGGAGGGAAGGGGGCCTTGAGCCCAGGAGTGAAGGTTTGAGGCGCCAGCTGTGAGGAACAGGCAGCAGAGGCCAACCGGGAAGTAGATAGACTTATCGCCTGTGACATGGGGCCCCGCTGGCCACAGATGTATAATGGTCTCTCCAAGAGCGTGGAGCTTTCTTCATCAGTGCTCAGAGCCTGGGGGAGGAGTGGGGCTGCTTGGTAGATTCTGGGTTGAAGGCTGAGAGAGTGTAGCTGCTGCATCATTAGATGTAATCACAGTGGCTATCCAGGCTGGGCAGGAATAGGAATTGGAAGGAAACTAATAAACATATTGAGCCCTTCCTGTGTGCCAGGCACTGTTTTAGGTTTTTGGGATATAGCAGATAATAAAAGATGAATCCTAGCCCTCACAAAGTTTATAATAGAGTTAGACATTAAGTAAAATGAATAAAATATACTACTATACTTCAGAGGCGGTGTCACGGAGAAAAACAGGGAAGAGGGCGGGGCATCCTGGGGGGTGGGAGGTGGACAAGGAAGATCTCTCTGAGATGGTGACATTTGATCAAAGACCTAGGATTGAGGAACAGCAAATGCAAAGGCCTGAGGCAGGGGCCTGCTGGACAATATTCGAGGAACACAGGGAGGCCAGCCCTTCTTTGGAAATAAAAATATTTAACTGTTTACCCTTTCGAACCTGGACAAAGGGAAGAGGTGAACATCTATTTTGACTCATTTCCGTCTCAAGCTAAAAAGGAGGATTAGACTAGCACAAACAGGAGCAAGAGTGTTCCATAATCTCACCAGGTTTCTCTGAGTATAAAGGTGGCGCCTTTTCAAGCCTGACCCGCCAGGGAATCAGAGTCCAATGGCTGCCCCCAGGGCAGCACTGAGCAATTTCGGTTTTTTGTTTCTTCCTGTGTTAATCCAAGAGACAAATCCCTAATTTCAGGTTTTTAGCCATTGTCTTTCCTCTTCTGATATTTTTACCTTTGTCTGATACCCTCCTTTCCCCTGGAATAATACCCATTTTTATACTTGTGAAGTAAACCCACCCCACCCCCCTTTTTTTCCTTCTGAAAGTAAAACAGCTTTCATCCTTATCGGTCTCCCTATAGATAGAGTGGCTTATTTGGTAGCAGTATTTGTTTATACTCGTATAGTTAGGCCAGGTTTCTTTTCTCATGGCTCTTTTTAAAAACACAAGAATCTTGCCTGATACCAGTTCTCATTATTAAATAAAAACAATCACCTTTTCATGTTGGGCTTTCTGCTTTTATTTTCTTCGTTTTCCCAATATTTTTTATCTTTAATCTTTTACTTTATGGAAAATTTCAAGCATATGTAGAGAGAATGGCAACATGCCTGCCCCTTGTCACTTTCATCTTTAAACAGTTACTGACAAGCTGCCATTTTTTTAATCTGTTCCCCATACAGTGTTTTTTTTCTGTAGTATTTTAAAACAGATCTCAAATTCAAAATTTTTTTATTTTATTTACTCTTTTCAATTTTCTTTTTTTAAGAAAGCACCCTTCTGTGAGCGCCGTCTTAATAGTTGTGCCAATATGTGGCCCTGAGCCCTGCAGGTGTTTATTCCGGGGACCTTATTTTACTGCGCGGATGGGAAAGCTAAGGTGGCCAGAAGGTCCCCCTACTGGAGTGCGTCCCCTCCTGAGCCTAGGAAAACAGCATGGTTCTCACACAATGGTGTCCTTGTCCTACCGATCCTTTCCTGGCTCCTGCCAGTGACAGCCTGTGTCGCAACTGGTGCCTTTGTGCAGGACCTGGGACCCGAGGCCTCCGTGTCAGGTGGCCAGTGGACAAGCTCTTGGGAAGCCAGGGAAACCTTCCCCTGAAGACGAGTCCCTGAGATGCTGTACCACAAAGACAGGCTTAGGAATAGGAATCACAAACCCCTTGCCTCCAAGTCTTGTTTCTGGCGACTTGTTAGAACTCGGCAGTCTCTTCCTGTGGAACAAACCAGCGAGATGCCCTCTGGTTCCGCCGTGCGGCTCCGTGTTTTTTGTATGCAGCATTCCTGCCTTTCCCGGCTTGCCTGGCTGCAGGGCTGTTGCAGTAACCCGGCTGTAAACTGCACGGTGAGGGTTCAGTGGGTGAGAGCTGTGGGTCTTGATTTCCTGCCTCTTGCATCAGTCTGTCGTACCGAGAGGTGATTAGTGGAACAGCAAACATGCGCTTACTGGCTGGAAGTATCTCCAGTTTCCTGTCGTGTGTTTGGTTTAATGAATTGTTTGTTTGCTGCCCACAGACCACATGTGGTGTGTGTGCCTCTGTTGTTGTGAGCACCGTAGGCCTTCATGTGGGAGCTGAGCTCCTAAGGCAAAGTCAACATTTGATAAGGCTTGTCCGAGCTTTCCTTTGACAATCCCCACCGACAGGGAGAAATGGACAGCTGCCTGTCACCCTAGGCAGAGCCGGGAGCCTGGAGCTCTGTGTCCACAGTCACATCACAGTGTTTGCCGTCCTCGCCCCCAGCTTTGAAGTCGTGGCTGGCGTGGCTGTACAGCCATGGGGTTTTAGATGCTGGAGATACTGTGCCATCTCCTGCCTGTGGGTGTTAGCTCTGTCGCAACACCCCTGTGTCAGCGTTCTCTCACCCCACCACCATCCCGCCCAGGAATCCGGAGCGTCCTCTGGACTTGTGCCCGGAGAATCTAGGCAAGGGGAAATGCTGCTGCTTTGACAACTACAGATAGAACATTGAGAGAAAACTTTCCCCCCAATTTAAAAAGTAATGCCTACCTTTGTACAAATTTGAGGAAATAGAGAAAAGGTGGGGAAGTCACTTTATATTTTCAACAGAGCTAACTCACAATTAGCATTCTTTGCCTCTGCATCTAGTTTTATCGATGTGCATGGAAGATGTTTTGAGCTGCGTTAATACTCTATATACAGTGTTACCTGCTCTCCTGACCAGAAGAGTGTAACGATTTGCACACATTTTAAGTTTTTGTAAGTGCTTTTAGGAGCCCTATTTTTCTTCCAGGTGGGCATTTCATAATTCAACCATGTTCTTGAATAGTTGAATAATTTGCAATGCTACTGTGAGCATCTTTGTACAGAAAGCATTTTCTATATTCTGTGTTATTTTTATACTACACTTTATAGAACTGGGATTAATGGGTCAAAGAGAATCACGAGAATGAACACTTGAAGGCTCTAAGATTGCCATACTGCTGCTCCAAAAGGGTGTACCCATTTCCCATCCAGCCAGATTCTCATCAACAGCAAAGCTCATTCTTAAGCCACAGGTTTGCTTTTCTGAATGGGAGTATCTGGTCCCACTCCAAGCATTTGGCAAGGCGATGATTTTGGTTTTAAAAGCCCTTGATGTGTCAGACAGTGACACTGACCCACTGTCCACTGAGGGCTGTGACTGGTTCTCCCTTCGCTGTCCCTCCCCCAAGTCACCTGCACGCTTCTTGAGAGCAGTTCCGTTCTGCTGTCAGTTCTCTCTCCAATCTCAGGGGCAATCATAAGAGCTTACATTTGTGTCTTTGTGTGCTTTTTCTGAAATGCCTTTATGCACGTTATCTCATGTAAACAAACCTGAGTTGTCGGTACAACTTGTGAATTGGCCCTGGGAACTCTTCAGGAGTCTTGACATCTCGGAGTCTGTCTGATGGTGCCTTTGTTGTTGTTCTCTCACACAGATCCAGTTCTGCAGGTTCCAACACACGTCGAAGAGTAAGTTTTCCGATTTGCTTCAGTACTTTCCTTTAACGCATTTTCTGTATTATTCAGTATTTATGAAGCCAATTGCTGGGAGTACATGTGCACAAATTTAAGATATAAGAAAATGATAGAGACATAGAAAGTCTTACAGGTGCTATGACAGAAGCCTGTGTCGGGGAGAGGGTAGGCAGTTCCTTTGGGAGGGAATGAGTGGCATTATGGGGGAAGGGGGGAATGGTATTTAAAAAGGCTTATTTGAGATAGAGCTTAAGTTGAGGTTTGAACTTAAGTTTCCAAAGTCCTCAGGGAGGCTTAAGGGTTTAGATCTCTCCCTCTTACTGTGTCAAGCAGGGAGGGGAAATGAGGGTGACCTGCTGCTGGAGGTGTGTGCTAGAATAAAGGTGGGACAGCACCTGCAGGAGCCTCCGGTGACTCCTCCGGGCTTCTGTGTGACCAGGCATAGCCCTTCCGCAGGTTAACTTGGCCAGAGACCACCTCACAGCCGCTTCATGGGAAGCTACCAGCCGAGAGACCTTTATCCATGTCCTTGGCGGGTTCTTACTGATTGTCAGGCTCTCAAAGTCTGCTTTTATTGCCTGTGGTTTAAAAATAAGTGTCTGTTGAACACTAAAGGCAGATTTGTTTTACCTGTTTACGTACCCTGCCACACTATTAAGTACTAATGTAGTTGTCGGAGTTATTGACTTGCAAGCTGAAAATCAGACTCGCTGGGTCCTTTTTACTTATTTTACCTTCATCCAGAGGGCTTTGACCCAGTGATGATTTACTCCTCTATGATAATTTATAATTTTCCCGTTGCAGGTGCCTTTTTTCCTACTCAAGTACAGCATGCACCCACCAGAGTGATATTTTGTTTGTTGCTAAAGTGGACAGGCAGTGGGTAGAATTAGCTTTCACACACACACACACACACACACACCCCACTTTCCCCCTCCCCTGGTCATGGCTCTCGTGGCTTTGGTATTTTGTTTTGTGCTCTGAGCGGTAATCTGTCATTGATACTATTGCTTCATTTCTAGGCCAGCCTTCCTCCCGGATCCCAACGATGGCAGCCTATATACACTTGGGGGCAAGCATAATGAAGGCCTAACGGTGAGTGTGTTTAGCTTCTTTGTACTCCAGAGGTTCTAGACCAGCCATCTCCCACTTTTGCTCATTGAGATCACCTGAGAGTTGATTCTGATTCAGGTGGTCTGGAGCGGGGCCTGGGCATCAATATGTTTTTACAGCTTTTAAATGGAAGCCAGATTTCAGAAATATTAATCTAGATGAGCAGGGCCCAGCCAACACATTGGAAGGGTACAATGCTCCCTTCGGTAATAGGGTTCACTCCAGCATTATTGGTATGGAGAGCAGGGTACTTTGAAACACTGCCTATCTCCCATGTGGGGGGCGCATGGTATCCCCATCTCCATTTGAGAATCTAGATGGCAGATTGTTTTCCATACACACAATTGTAAACCTACTTTTGCCCCACCCTGTATAAATAACTTTTATGGATTACTTTAGAAAGACAGACAACCCAATAGAAAAATGGCAAAAGAAGAGATCTTAATGGTCAATAAACATATGAAAAGGTACTCAGCTTCATTAGTCATTAGGGAAATGTAAACAAAAACCACAGCTGGTGTGGCTCAGTGGTTGAGAGGCAAGAAGGGAGTCTCAGAGTGCTGTGAAGGCTCTGCGCCTCCTGCGTGCTGGTTACAAGGGCATGTTCATGTTGCAAATGTCTCTGAGCCCTACATGTCCCTGAGCTTTCTGATTGTGAGTTCTGCTTCAGTGGAAAGTTTAAAAAGGCGAAAGATTTATGCGATCTGAAGAGAAACCAGATCATTTTCAGGGGAAAATTTAAAAAGCCTCTAATGTGCAGCCAGATTGAGAACCATTGGTCTAGACTGTAGGTGGCTTATGAGCCTTAATTTGGACATTTTAAAATTATTTGATGAATACCTGGGACTGAAATAGGTGGGAGAAGGGCAGGCGTTGTGTAGCTAGAGGTCTGTGTGTTTCACCTTCGACATTTCTCTCCACATCACTAGAGCCTCCATTGCTGAAGCGCTTTGTTAGCCAGAAACCGGGTCCAGTGACTTGTACACGTTGTCTCATCTGAACCTCTAAGCGGCCCTCTGGGATGTCAGTGTTGCCCTCATACTCGAGGAGTGGGAACTCTGCCTGGGGTGGGGGTGAAGGAACATGCCAAGTCCACAGCTTCCCGTTGGACTGGAGACCTGAGAGCTCTCGAACTTCCAAAGGATGCTCTGACCTCCGCCCCACATGAGGCCTTCCTGTGTTGTGGGTTAGCGGCGCCAGGAGCAGCATGTCGCCGGCTCGGGCCCTGAGTCGGGAGGCTCAGCAGAGAGCACAGGACTCGGGCTGGAAGCCTTGCAGTGACTTTCTGATTCTCAGAAACATCTGGCAGAAGCCCAGTCATTACAGCCGCTCTGTGGCATTTTTCCTTTTCCAAGGCTTAGCTTAAACCTTGGGATGTTGGGAAAGTCCAAGTGATTAATTATTTAAAGTTCTGTTTATTGAAGCAAGAGAGAAATCTTTTGTGGAGAAAAAGGTGGCAGCATAGTGGAGGCAGTTATCTATAGAACGGTTTCAAAAACACAGAATGTTCCAAAAATAAAGCACACTGAAACAAACCTTCACCAAAGGCCTCCTCAGATGTCAGCTGGAGGCTCGGCGGAATCGGTTTTATGATGAAATGCAGCTGAAACAATGTGGATTCCTCTGAGTTTCTTTTCCTGGCACTTACCTCGACTTCCTTTTAATACCAAAAGGTCCGGCTTGTCTTCAGTTCCTCCGTAGGGAATTATTTACTGAAGAAAACATCAAAACTTCTCTTCCACTTCAGGCTCCTATGTTGCACACGTAATGACGACTTCTTTTTCTCGAAGCTCCTTCTGGGCATGGAGATTGCTGCTCTTAGAACTAATCTCATGGCCCACTCTCACTCTCATGGCATGCTACTAAGTCTTAGCTGGCTCTGGGCCAGTTTTCCAAGACGGGCGAATTCTTCCTTAGAATTTCAGAGATTGTGTAACTCTCCATATTTGTGTGAGTCTTTTCAGAAAAAGGTCTGTGTCGCCCCCAGGAATGCCCTGGAAAAGACTTTGGGGGGTCCGTGGAGTAAAGGAGTTCGTGTTTCTGGGGCCAGGCACCTGGGAGCCGAGGGCTTGTCCAAAATGGATCTGGAAGCATAGGGCACCCCTGCTCCTTGGTCTCCAATTAGGAAAACGCCCATCTGCCATCAACAGTGTGCCTCTCTTTTTAGCAGAATTGGGTAACAAACAGAGTATACTGTGAAAATTGTAGAAATTGCATAAGACTTGGTTAACTTATTTTTCTTTTTTTTTTTTTTTTTTTTTAAAGAAACTTCCCTTTACCATCCCAGAGTTGGTACAGGCATCGCCATGCCGAAGTTCAGATGGGATTCTCTACATGGGTAAGAGTTCCTGGTTCCCGCGCTGAAACTTTGAGCTCTTTGGAAATGAGCCAGGAGCTGGGCAGGTGGCATCGCTGAGAGAGAGGTGCAGTCCCCTCGCCAGCCCTTCTGGGAAAGCTCTTTCCTGCCTGGGTTGGGCTTGTTCGCGCCTGGATCAGCTGAACAATTAAGGAAGGGCTCCCCCACTTGGGAACAGACTCCACGCCATTAATATGGTTACTCATTTAACAAGCTTTTAGCTGCGTGTTGACCTACCCCTGCGATTTAAAGATTGCAACATACCCAGAAGCAACTGGTCGAAATTTTAAGTGAATATAATGGTGTGAGCCAAGAAAGGGAGCCAGGTTCTTGTCTATTCATTATGGGACTGTCTCAGTATTTCCTGCTATCTTAATATTGGCTAAAAACCGGGCTTAACATCCACAGGGGCCACATCTCCCAAAGCATCGGATCACCTGCTTTTCTTTACCACGTCGCTGCCAGGATGTCAATAAAAATGCATTTGTAACACAAAGGAGAGCTGTATTTATCTTGAAATCATAGTCGTAATAATACCCTGTATTTATACACCAGTTTCTGGAGGAACTGAAAGTGCTCAGTGCCTATTCATGCCTGGGGGTGGGGAGCCTGTGTGTGTATTTCTGAGCCCAATAGTAAGTTTGTGCTAGGGACTCCGGCTCTGGCTTCCTTCCACACCTTCAGAGCGAGGACCTCCCCCCAGCGAGGGAATTGGGGAAGTGGCCAGCCCAGGCTTTCTCTCCTCTGCGCCACGCCCAGGCCCCTCTGAGCGCCTTCTGGCCATCGTACAATGGTTTCTATTTGGCCTTCCAGCGATTCGTCACTTAGGCTGCACTTAGGATATTGCGGTCCCATCCCCTTTGGGTGGTGCCTCTTAAGTGAGTTCTTCACGCACATTTAGTGTGGCAGTTGTCCTCTCCATCCATGGGAGTGGTGCTGGGTTATGGAGACTGCAGTGGTCCTCGAAGTAACCAGAGAGGCCCGGCCACAGCTGTTGGGTGATGTTTTCACTCTGTCTTCAGACCTTTTTCACATTGCAATTTGTTGCTGAGAACAGAAAGTTAGGACCCGTGGACACGTGTCACACATGTGGACTTGGCATTGATGCCACTTCTGTTAGAGCTAAGCACGGCCTTAGCAAATTTGAATACCCGGGGCTCTCCCTGGCAGCTCAGCCCTGCTTCTGAGAGTCCCTCGAAGTAGGAAGCTTGGCCAGTAAGTAAGTTAGGAAGAGATGCACACACATCATAGTGTATGTGTCGACCTTCAGATGGGAGGCCCATGCTATGGACTCACCACTCCCATGATGCTCTGGTGCGTGTACTGTAGATGCACATCTCTGAGTTTTCCTAAGAGTTGGTTGGCTATGCTGCCCGCCTGATCATATCTTTGAATCAGCTGACCGAGGTGAGAGGTATAGCCCGTGGCTGGGAATCACTTCCTGGCTGGGACAGGGGCTGAGACAACTGATGTCATTAGCACCAGGTTGCAACCAGCTCCACTGCCCCGTGACAGGCACCAGCTGATCAGAGTCAGAAACAGTCGCTCTAGATCCTCTTGCACGTGAGCGCCTCAGTAGGGAGGTTGAGATACGGGGATGACGGTTAGCAGCGCACTGAGCCCGGGGGTGCACTTCAGGATTTATATAGATCCTCCTAGTCTGTAGGGAAAACCTTGCCCTTTCCAGGCCAGACTTGTAGTATTTAAGGCCACCAATCACAGCAGGACGATATGAGTTACTAGGTTCAGAGAAATTTTTATACTTGATTAGGTTACTCCGTTATTATGAGACCCTGTGGCCCAGTCGTTCATTTTATTATCTCCACGTTACCATTCCACCTCGGAGCAGAGTGACAAGATAATGGCCCGACTCTCGGACAGAGGACGTCTTGGGCTGCTGGTTTGGCAGTGGTACTTTTTCATATAGGACGAGTGTAAACCACGGTGTGTCCTTGTGACATTTCAGGTAAAAAGCAGGACATTTGGTATGTCATTGACCTTCTGACCGGGGAGAAACAGCAGACTTTGTCATCGGCCTTTGCAGATAGCCTCTGCCCTTCGACCTCTCTGCTGTACCTTGGGCGCACAGGTAAGAAGGAGCCTCTTGTCCTGCACAAAGCTGCCTGTTTCCCGAGAGGACTGAACTGGCGGCCCCGCCCCCCCCCCCCCCCCCCCCCCCCCCCGTCTCTGCCTCCGGGCTTCCTTACGGAGAAGGCGGCCAGAGCTCAGGCACAGATTTTACCACGTGGTTCCCCTTTCTAGACCCGCTGTGGCTCTCATTGCCTGAGGGTTACAGTCCCATCTGTACGCAGCCACAGAACCTGCAGCTGCTGCCTCTTGCCCCCCCTCCCTCGCTATGTTTCCCTCATTTCAACATTTTCCAATGAAGATGAACTCTCCACAGCTCCCAGAATAAGCAGTACTATTTTAAAAAACTTGGAATTGTGGGTCCTGCTCTACCAGGTATGCACGTTTTTGCCTCTCTGGCCAACGTCCTGCCTCCTTTCACATTGCTGCTCAAAAGGCACCCTGGCTGTGAGCCTCTTCCGCACCTCAGCTCCCCGTCCCTGCCCAGGACAGCAGCTCCTTCATCCTCATGTGGGCCTGTTACAACCCCCAGCTCACTGCCCATCACTGGCCCTCTAAGGCATCAGCAGCACCCCCTCACCTCTTTTTTCAGCCTCGTCTTCTTGTTAATACTTGTTTCTAAGTCATATTTGCCTATTTTTCTGTCTCCTGCACCACACCATCAGCTTCCCAAGGGCAGGACTTGGCTTCGCTCACCTGCCGTATGTCCACCTGGGCACCTGTCCGACATGCAGCAGGTGCTCAGATGTTGGAGCGAGTCAGTGGGTGGGTGCTGAGCCCTTTCCCTGCAGGGATCTGCCTTATTCATCGTGTGTGTGTGGCACCTGACATCTTCCAGCTCCATACAAATTGTAGAACAGACAGTTGACACAGAAACATTTAGAAGGAAAAAATTACACCCAAAACTTAGAAAGAAATCATTACTGCTGAGACCGGTTTGGCTCAGTGGATAGAGCGTTGGCCTGTGGACTGAAGGGTCCCGGGTTCGAGTCCGGTCAAGGGCATGTACTTGGGTTGTGGGCACATCCCCAGTGGGGGGTGTGCAAGAGGCAGCTGATTGATGATCCTCTCTCATCGATGTTTCTAACTCTCTATCCCTCTCTCTTCCTCTCTGTACAAAATCAATAGAATATATTAAAAAAGAAAAAAAGAAATCATTACAGCCCTGGCTAGGTGGCTTGGTTGGTTGGAGTGTCATCCATACACGGAATGGTTATGGATTTGATCCCTAGTCGGTGCAAATGGGAGGCAACTAATTTCTCTCACATTGATATCTGTCTGTCTCTCCCCCGCCCCCCATCTCTATCTCTCCTTGTCCCTTTCCCCATCCCTTTTCCCTTACTTCATCTCTGCCACTCTCTCCCTTCCTCTCTCTCTAAAATCAATGAACATGTCCTCAGGTGAGGATAAAAAAAATCATTACAATTGAGCACTAAGTTTGTCTATAAATATTCAGGTAGCCAAAGCTTTAAAAAAGAGATGGCACCTTCCTCCAGGGGCTGTGGAAACAGTGCTTTTCTAAGTGTGAGTGAAGCTGATCCGGGGCCCTGTAGAAGCTGGGTGGGCTCTCCTGTTAAGGGGGCAGGAAGGCTCTCTTGTTTCATTATCTATTGCTGCTTAACAAGCCACCCTAACTTAGCGGCTTCAAGCACCAACACTTTATTGCTCAGGATTCCGCGAGTCAGAAGTTCAGGGAGGGCTCAAAAGGCTTCAGTGGTCCCCACATGCTGTTGGCTGGGTTCACCCAGGTGCCCGGGGCCTTGGCTCAGCGGCACACAGAGAGCCTGGACCTCTCCACGATGGCCGGTCCTCCCCTTGGGTTACCGTGGGCGTTACAGTGTCTCTACGGCCTGGGCTCAGAATCCCGGAACCTCCCTTCCACTGCAGGCTGCTGGTCAAAGCAAGTTAGGAAGCCAGCCCAGAACCGGGGACTGGGGAAATGGATTTTGCGTGTGCCATGTTATAGTCCATTCTAGAAGATTAATCCAAACCCACAAACCTCTCTGCTTTATGCTATGGACCACACCCTCACTATTCTTAGAACCTTCTTATCTAGCAGAAGGTCTAGGAAGTGCTACTTAATAGCAAGAGGTCTGTGAAATACCACCTTAAGTCTTTCTGAAGTCTCAAAGAAGGGTCGTACTGCCTCAGTTTATGTTTTTTAATAGGTTTTTAGAGAGAGAAACATCAATTTGTTGCTCTACATATTCATGCATTCGTTAGTTGCTTCTCATATGTGCTTTGATCGGAGATTGAACCTGCAACCACAATGTTTTAACCAACTGAGCTTCTCGACAAGGGCTAACTGCCTCACCCTTGATTTGATCTGGACCCTGGGGCCAATTTTTGCTGGTAGCACCCTGGACTTCATCTTTGCCCTAAAGCCATTTTTTATATTGAGAATCTTTTTTCTGGAGGCCAGTCCTGCACCTTCTATATTTTCTCTCTATTCAGCTTGAAATCTGAATTGTTGCTTCTTTAATTTATGTCTTGCAATGTATCATATGCAGTTGAGAGAAGCCATTCGGCACTTTCTGCATTTTGCGTGGAAATCTCGTTAGCAGACCCATTAGGTAATTGTGTCACCAGCCCGTAACCTGGGTTACCCCTTTTCCGCTTCCAGTAGCAGTTTTCTTCCTGCCCTTTCTGTTTCCACGTCGACCTTTCGGCCTCCATTTGCCACCTGGTCCGAGCCACATGTTCTGGGTTTGGGTTATGAGACCTTTCCACTTCATTAGGCACCGATTTCTAACATCATCTGCCTATTGCTGTATAGTAAGCCACCCGGAGCTTACGTGGCTTAGAACAACCTGTGAAACTGCTCACGGTCCTGTGAGTCCCGAGTTCGAGGGCACCGCTGGGGTGGCTCGTCTCCGCCACGTGCCGTTGGCTGGGTTCGCTCCGGGGTCTGAGATTTCAGTTCTCCACGTGGCCTTTTCTCTCTCCGCGAGGATGGCCTGGGCTTTTTGCAGGCAGTTCAGGGAGGACTTGTCTGTTGTAATTTAGATAAGGTCAGCACCTGGGTGGGTGCCACGGCCCCCCTGGGTAACGGGCTGGTGTGTGTCCTCAGAATACACCATCACCATGTACGACACCAAAGCCCGAGAGCTCCGGTGGAACGCCACCTACTTCGACTACGCAGCCTCGCTGCCCGAGGACGACGTGGACTACAGTGAGTACCCGGGGGCGTGGCCGGCGGGGCGGTCCTCGTGATCCAGGAGGAAGGGCTCGCTCCGGAGGAGAAGCTGGATCTCCTTTTGAGACTCCCTTGGTCAGCAGGTTCTGGACTTCCCATGGGATTAGAGTAAATGCTTCAGCAGGCGGCGCTGAAGGCAGGTCCCGGTGAGAAGTGAGGAGGCAAAGCCGAGTAAGACAGCGCAAGGCAGCCTGAGAGGAGGGAAGGCGCCCTCTGCCCGGTCCCTGTGTGTCTCAAAAGGAACTTGCTAGAAGCCCAGTGGGAAGCAGCAAAAAGCATCACCTGTGACAGTGACAACCCACTGCCTGCATGTGGCTCACCCTCGAGTTATTTCTCTAGTAAACTTTTCCCAGCTCCAATGAAAACTAAAAACCGATCCTGCCAGCTCAGTACCGGGGTCAGGAAGGCTGATAGAAGGCTGCTCTGCGGTCAGATGTGTTCTGCCCTGACTCTGAGCTTGATCAGTAGGTTTGAAATGATTGCTATCAAATGTGTCCCCATGGGCTCCTTTCTGCTCAGCATTTCCCCTCACTAAGAGATTGGAATGCTGACGAGTGTCACCCAGTGACTCGCCTTCCAGAGGGTGACCCAGTCTTAGGCTTACAAACCAGGCAGCTCCTGGTGTGTGGCTGCGGGAGAGCCTGAGCAAGCTCCTTAGAAATGCGTGGAACTGTTCGGGGAGCTCGGAGAACTCTCCAGAGGCCTCGTTTCCTCTAGCTGAGTGGCCGCAGCCTGCCGGGACATGAGGATGTGGTTGCGGGACGGGGCAAGACTCGACGTGGCTTTGTCTGTCTGATCTGTGCAGAGATGTCCCATTTTGTGTCCAATGGCGACGGGCTGGTGGTGACGGTGGACAGTGAATCGGGCGATGTCCTGTGGATCCAGAACTACGCTTCCCCCGTGGTGGCCTTTTACGTGTGGCAGCGGGAGGGGCTGCGGAAGGTGATGCACATCAACGTCGCCATGGAGACCCTGCGCTACCTGACCTTCATGTCTGGGGAGGTGGGGCGCATCACCAAGTGGAAGTACCCCTTCCCCAAGGAGACAGAGGCCAAGAGCAAGCTGACGTGAGTCGGGGAACCCGGGGCAGAGAGGGCCTCTGCGACCCTGACTCTCTGGTCCTGCCGCAGCATGCCACACCACACCCAGGGCTCGGCAGTTGACTCTGAAGCCGTGAGGATAATGAAAACCAAGACTGGCTCATTCATAAACCCCAGAATATAAGAACGGGGGGGCGTCCCCTGGCGCTTCAGAATTCTTAAGTATTAAATGAATTAAAATTATGGGTGGGGACAGGAAACACAGTATTGGTAGTACAATTTGGATGTATCTCAGGTAGCGGGATTATAAGAGATTTACTCATTTTCCAATTTCATGTATCTTCTAAGTTTTTACTGTAAGTCATATTCACTTAAAAATCAGGCCTGCACTATTAGGGTGCATGTGTCTAAGATTCAGCGGGCTTGTGCTCTCCTCCCCGCCCCCCTCAGCCTCAGTTTCCCACTTGAGAGAACTTTTGGAGAAGAGCAATTGAGATGACATGCAAGGATGTTTTCTCTAAATTATACACCACCATCTTGGGGGCTTTGCTGTGGTCGCAAGTGCCAGTCTCTCCGGGCGATCCCTGCGTGCGGTCCTTTCTTTGGGCGCCGCGGGGATGGCTGAGGACAGATGGGGACACCAGGCAGTGAGTGGCAGCGGGGCCTGAGTCCAGTTCTGCTGCTGCCAGGGCAGGAGTCTCGCCTCCACACCCCAGCGTGCTTAGGAGTTCAGCTGGCTATTCTTCTGGGTGGTATTTGGGGCTGGGGCTGGGGCTGGGGCTGGGATTCTTCTCCAGAATTTAAAGGAGTGTGGAATACATGTGTCTGTTTTCCTCTTAGGCCTACCCTGTATGTCGGGAAATACTCTACCAGCCTCTACGCCTCCCCCTCAATGGTCCACGAGGGGGTTGCTGTTGTGGTAAGTCCCCTTGCGAGGGGGGAAGAGGGAGGGTCACAGATACAAACTCCTAACTGCTCCTGCTCCATTTTTGCGGAGTGACTGAGTCCTGTATAAGCATCTGTTGGTTAAGAATGCAGGACACAGGTCTCAGATCCTCAAACACACTTCCTGCACCACCTTCTCCTTTCGAGGAGAGCTGTGTGGCCAACAGCTCACTAGGCCCGGGAGGCCCTGGTCACCCATTTGCCTGGTGTTGAAGCCTAAGCCTCGCCGGTGGTCACAGCTCTCCTCACCCCGTCCCGCGGTACCGTCCTCCCCACCGCTGGGTCCAACCCGTGCGTCTTCTCACCGATCTCAGAAGTTCCCTATCCTTCTCCCTTAGCCTTTGTTCAGGCTGCACCTCACACTCCGGCCCTCCCCTTCCTCCTTTTCGCTACTCAGATCCTTTGTATCCTTTCCTGACCTGGACAGTGCTTCGTCTCTGGGCATCTGAAGCCTCATGATCCTGGCTGCTCATTTGGTGTTTGAGGTGTTTGGTTGGCGTCACTTGTCTTTCTAGTGAGGCAAGTTGGTCAGCGGCTCCCATGAAGTCCAGCAGGGCCCGAGCCAGCAGCGGGCTCGTTGGGGGCGCTCACTCCACCTGGTCAGGTGCCCGGATTGTGGATTGCTTGTGCCCTGGCATTCTCCTTCCCTTACACTGCTGCTCACAGTAGCCGCTTGGAACTCCACACACAACCTTCCTGTTCCCAGTTCCTAGACAAGAGCATTTGAAAAGGTGTCCATGTTAAAGACCTCAGCATAGCATTTCCCACCCTGAGGGGGAGCTTTCCCTGCTGTCCCTCGGCCTTTGTGTCTTGCTCTGACTGTCTTGGACCAGCCCCAACCGGAGGTAGGACAGTCCCTTAGGACAGTCACAGGAAGGGAATGCCTGCTACCTGCGAGGGCTGCCCAGGCCTCACTTCAGTTGTGTCTCCACAGCCCCGAGGCAGCACCCTTCCTTTGCTGGACGGCCCCCAGACCGACGGAGTCACCATTGGGGACAAAGGGAAGTGTGTGATCACACCCAGCACGGATCTAAAGTTGAACCCCGGGCTCAAAGGGAAGAACAAGCTCAACTACTTGAGGAACTACTGGCTTCTGATCGGTTAGTTGATTCCCTGCCATGTGCTGCCTCCTGGTGGGCAGAGCCGACCTTGCTAGTTACAGTCTGCAGCTTTGTGCTTAGTTTGTGTCCGAGTCCTCCAGACCTGGGACATGTTTACCCCCAAGGGAAGCAAACAGGGCAGCTGTGTTGCCAAGTCAGTTCTCAAACATTGTTTAACGATGATTCCAAAACTCAGGTACTATGTACAGTCATGTCGGGGATACGGTCTGAAAGACGCGTCATTAGGCCATTTTTTCATTTTGCAAACATCCCAGAATGTCGTTACACAAACCTAGAAGGTACAGGCTCCTGCATACCTACGCTATGTGGCACAGCGCACTGCTGCTAGGCTACAGCCTCCACAGCTGTTACTGCACAGAACAGCGCGAGATTAAATCAAGCCCATGAGAAAATGATGCCATCCAGAGAGACAGTAAGCGCAGGATAGATGAGGCTTCACGTGAAACACTGTTTGACAGCAAACTTTGTAAGTAGAAAGAGGACACGTTAAAATAACAAAAAGTACAGTGTAGGAAGCACATAAACCAGTAACACAGATGTCTGTTGCCAGTATTTGCACTGCACACACCTGTCTGTGTTACACGTTTATACGACTGGCAGTGCCATAGGTTTGTTTACTCCAGTGTCACTGCGGACGCGGGAGTCACGGGTTGTGCTGGGACATGATGGCGACGCTGCCAGGCGATGGGAAATCTCCAGCTCCATTGTAATCTCATGGGGCCGTTGTCATATATGCAAGCTGCCATTGACCAAAATGTCATTGTGCATCACATGACTGTAAGGTAAACTTTGTGCAACCAACCAATGCACTGACTGTCTGTAATGTGCCAGGCACTGGCACTAAGCACATTAGAATGCATTTCCTATTTTCCACAGACAGGCACCCCTGTTACTTTACTTCTATTGAGTGTTAAGGAAACTGGAGTGGTTGCTATAAAAGAATTCACTTGGAGTTGGCGTGGGTGAGGGGTAGAGGGTGCAGGGAGGCGGGGGGAGGAAAGGGGTGAAGACCAGCAGGGACTGAGGGAGGTGAAGAGTTAGAGGCTGGATCCTGGTCCAGGAACCACGGCAGAAATCCTGAGAGTGTATGGGGAGTCCCTTCTCCTTCTCTTCTGCTGTTGCTGCCATCACTCTTCCGCTGTCAGCCAGCCAGGAAAGACATCAAGATGACACCCAGAGGCAGTGAGTGTGATAGATGAGGGCAGAGGTGAGAGAGCTGTGTCTCTGGCAAGTGTCCCAAGTAATTACAGCAGGACCGAGTCTTCTTGAATCTGATTTTCCCATCCTGTGTCCCAATCCTGCTGCCTCCCAGCCCCAGAGGTGGTGAGAGGCGGGGATGCAGCCACAGGGGTGGGGTGGGCAGGCGGGAAGTGGGGGTGCCAGAGTGCACAGGGGCTCCTGAGGTTTCTCCTCACCAAGATGGGAAGTGGCTGCCCTCAGGGGAGTGATGTGACAGGGTAAGCGTGGAAGGGCGAAGGCCTTGGACATCGAACAAAGCTCCTAACGCTTCGGCAGCGGACAGCCTGTTAGGAACACGCACACAGGTCTTGCTCTGAAACGTATCCCAGCACCCAAATTCCTCTCCTGACAAGGAGACTTCTCGCCCCTCGTTATGAGATTCAGAAGACTGGATATGTGCCGTTAAGTAACAAAATGTGTCTCTCTCTCTCTCTCTCTCTCTCTCTCTCTCTTTCTCTCTCTCTCTCTCTCTCTTTAATGTTTTTATTGATTTTAGAGAGAAGGGAAGGGAGGGAGATAGAAACATTGATGAGAGAGAAACATCAATTGGCTGCCTCCTGCATGCCCACAACGCTGCATGTGCCCTGGCCCAGAATGAACTGGTGACCTCCTGACTTATGGGTGGATGCTCAACCATTGAGCCACACCAGCTGGGCAAAACTTCTGTCTTAATGAGACATTCCTGGCAGCTACCTCTCGTGTTCTTGCTCTTCCTTTATAGATGTGAGTGTTTGCACAGCAGGCCTCTCGTGGACAGCGACTGCTGCCTCAGCTGGGCCGCGAGGGCTGCCACCCCCTGGACGCTGTTCTCACGAAAGTTTTCTTTCCTCTCCCAGGGCACCATGAAACGCCGCTGTCTGCGTCTACCAAGATGCTGGAGAGATTCCCCTACAACCTGCCCAAACACCGGGAAAATGTGATTCCTGCCGACTCTGAGAAAAAGAGCTTCGAGGACGTGAGTGGGGCGGGGAGCAGCTACGGCTCCCCAGGCTGGTGGTGGGAACAGGCATCACTCTTGCCTTTAGGGCTCTCAGTCAACTCCACTGGGGCATCCACGGCAGCTCACAGCTGGTGGGGACGGAGGGGAGGGAGGAGATGGCCATTAGCGAAAGCCGCAGGAGGGCAGTGGGACCGAAGGGTGGGATAGCAGCAGGGGCCGCTGGAGGTAGAAGAGCAGAGGTGAGGCCTGGAGGTGAGGCTGGCCCTGTGTGACCAGCTGAGGGGCTGAGGAGCTAGGCCTGAGGCTGCCAGGTGGGGACCAGTGGGAAATGGGATCGCTTGACTACAGAAGAGCCACGTTGCCAAACCTTGACAACCCTGGCAGCGGAGGGGAGACAAAGAGAGGAAGCAGGAGACCAGAGTCCAGTGGCTGCTCAGCCTGAGTAACAACACCATCACAGCTGTAATTCTCAAGGCAGTCGCTTTGGGGAAGGCGGTGGTTGTCCGGCCCCGTGCCCTCTGGGAGGGCTTAGAAAATCCAGCACACGTCACGTATTCCTTATGAAGAGGCAGTGCTGCTCCTGATTGGCTCGTTTGTCTGGCTGGAAATGTTGCAGAGATGTAGCCACTCTCTCCCACACAAGGTTATCCACCTGGTCGACCAGACTTCAGACCACGCACCCAGCACCGTTTCTCAGGATGTGGAGAAGAAGTTCGCTCACGCCCCCGCCAAGCCCGAGGCCCCTGTGGACTCCGTGCTCAAAGACATCGCCACCATCATCCTGAGCACCTTCCTGCTCATCGGCTGGGTGGCCTTCATCATCACCTACCCCTTGGTGAGGCCCGGCCCTCCCCTTGGCCCGCCCAGATGTTTCCAAGCTTCTGTGCCCGTCACCTGATGACAGTGAGGCCTGGGCAAACAGGCCAAACAACCATATTCATTTCTTTTCACATGTAAACGTTAGCATTTGCTCATCTTCAAAAACATTGCAATTAGAGAGCCACTGGCTTCTCAAAAAATGATGATTTTGTAACTACATCTTATGGTTTAACTGTGCAAACTGATTTGAATAGTTAACTACATTTTCCTTTTTTAAGAATAGTCATTACAGGTGAAAATCCCTTTAACTTTCTTCCCAAAAACCGGCTGTTAGAGATATCAGTGAGAGTGAGAAAGGTGGTCTGGTCATCCCTTCCACTTTCTAGTTGGAAATAAGTGAGCTAAAGTTACGTAGTCACATAGGCCGTGCTTTGGGTACCGTATACCTAAGGGGAGTGTTCCTTCGCCAGGTTGCTCCGAGCCCTGAAACGTTTATTACCTTAGCTCACAGTGCCCGGGAAGCTCATTCCCGTATAGGATCTGAACCCTTTACTTTGGGGGTGCTTTCCACTCGTGTAAGTGAGTCCACCTCTGATGTCCCTGCCTGGTGGCCGCCAGCCTCCGGTGGGAGGAACGGGCTGTCCTGGGAAGTCTAACTGGCTGGAAGACCCCCAGCCGTGGAAGGGACCTTCTCCTGTGCCTTCGCACCGTCTCCTCCGCCCTGTGGGGCCACGTAAAGCGCACCTGCTTCTCCGGCGCGGAGAGCGCTCCCTGCCTCCCCCAGGCCCCAGGATGTGTGTTTCTCTTCCCAGAGCATGCATCAGCAGCAGCAGCTCCAGCACCGGCAGTTCCAGCAGGAACTGGAGAAAATGCAGCTCCTGCAGCAGCAGCAGCTGCCCTTCCACGCACCCGGGGACGTGGCTCAGGACGCCGAGCTCCAGGACTCCTCCGGCCTGTACTCGGAGAGCTCGGGCACCAGCAGCCCCAGCACGTCCCCCCGAGCCTCCAACCACTCTCTGCACTCCAGCGGCTCTGCCTCCAGGGCCGGCACCAGCCCCTCCCTGGAGCAGGACGACGAGGGTAAAGCTGGTCACCGTTTGGTGCCGTTTTCTCTTTCATTTGCGTGTCACCTGAGAGGCACAGCACCGTGGCCCTCTGGGAGTGTCCATGGGGTTACGAGGCTCCCACACATTCAACATGTTCTCACCTGAGTCCCTCCCACTCTGGGGCCAGGGTCCTGCCCCCTCTGTGATCTCTCCTCTCAGAGGGCCTTCTGGTAGCCCCCTGGAATGCCGCACAAGGGCTGGGAATCACTGCTGACCAGAGGTGCACTGGCCCCTGGCTTGAGAGCATTCCCAGGAGCCAGGGACCAGGGAAGGAAGTGCAGCTGGTGGTCCCCTTTCCCTTGGGGGGTGGCTCAGGCCAGTGTCAGGACAAGAGGCCTCAGAGTCCTCGTCTCACACTGGAGACTCTGCAGCTGGTCTCCCCGGGTCACGTCCACAGCGGCTCCCCGAGTGTTTCAGTGCAAATCCTTGAGGCGGGTCTGCAGCGAGCCCGTCTTCGGGAAGGTGTGAGACGTTCATTCTCACAGCAGTGCAGAGGCAGGACGGGGCAGGGGACAGGGACGGGTGGCCCTGGGCACGAATGGGGAGGGGGCCCAGAGCTCTCACGAGGGGACAGGCATAGAGCGCCTGAGATGCGTGTGTCAGTCTGAGCTCAGGAAGCTGGTAGCCATTCTAACCTCCCGGTTTGGGTTAGGTGTGCTTAACACAGCCCTCCTTTTCCCCCTTTTGTCCCAGATGAGGAAACCAGCATGGTGATGGTTGGGAAAATTTCTTTCTGCCCCAAGGACGTCCTGGGCCACGGAGCGGAGGGCACAATTGTGTACCGGTGAGTGGGTTGGAGAGCCCCGTGCCTTCACCACGACAGACAGGGTCAGAGCCGGGACTCGGACAGAAGAGTTCGCCTCCGGGGAGAGAAGTGGCGACCACGGGCGGGTGGGTGGGGCCTCCCAGGCTATGAGGCGGCTGAGTGGCCGCTGTGTCAGAGGGGAAGGAGCACTGTGGTCCACGGGCCTCCGGTTGTGTCCACAGCCCCCACCGCACCGCCCAACCCAGCCCTGCTCCCTGTCCTACAGGGGCATGTTCGACAGCCGCAACGTGGCGGTCAAGAGGATCCTCCCCGAGTGCTTCAGCTTCGCCGACCGCGAGGTGCAGCTGCTGCGGGAATCCGACGAGCACCCGAACGTGATCCGGTACTTCTGCACCGAGAAGGACCGGCAGTTCCAGTACATCGCCATCGAGCTGTGCGCCGCCACGCTGCAGGAGGTGGGTGCCTGTCCCCACGGCAGCTCCCCCGGCACCTGGGGCCTGGTCTCAGGGCTGCCGAAGTCACTCTCACTTCTTTTTATTAACTTTACTGAAGTATAGCGCGTACTCATTTAAAACCGTTTGATGCATTTTGACAAAGCTGCGTGCCCATGTAAACAAAGTCACAATGTGGAGCAATTTTATCACCCCACCTTGAACTGGGGTGTCCCCTCGGCCTGCCCCGGGGCAATCTGTGGTTAGCTTCTGTCTCCCTCTTGGCCTCTAGAATACCTGGCCGGTCCTGATCCCAGGGCTGGTGTGGGCTTGGAGGATGCTTCCTGATGACCCAAGCCGTTATAATCATAATTCCTTTTGCTCAGTTTTCAACATACTGTGAAACTCTCATTCATGGATAGGTTACCTGTATGAGTCAGTGAGCTTGAGTGTCTTCCCCTCTTATCTTTCCCACTGGAAGCTAGTAAGTTGGAGCTTGTTTGTTTGTCTAAATTAATTTATTCTTTGAGGATAAAGTCTTTGGAAAAACAAGGATTTGGACAGAATATTGTCAATAAAACTTCCCTTTCTTAAAATATGATCAAAGAAAAGGAGCTGACTCAGTACCAAATCTTAAAGCAAAAGGCTGGAGGCAGGATTTTTCTAAATGAAACTGAATCACGTTAAAAAGAGAAAGAGGAGAATGCACCCAGGGGCCGAGTCCTGGGGCTGAGCCACAGGTGTCTCTCGCAGTACGTGGAGCAGAAGGACTTCGCCCACCTCGGCCTGGAGCCCATCACCTTGCTGCAGCAGACCACCTCCGGCCTGGCCCACTTGCACTCGCTCAACATCGGTGAGAGCTTCCCTCCATCGGGCGGCTGGGTGGGGTGACGGGCCTGCCCGGGTGGGCCTGCCTCTGCTAAGCTCTCTGCTGCACGGCTGGTGTGCACGCTGTGTAAGGATCTGAGGAGGGTCCTTACACAGTTGAAACCTTTGGAGGCGGCAGGGCGCTTGGCAGTCTGAGGAGGGTGCACTCGCATCGCAGGAGGAGGCCCGATGTTGCTCCTGGTTTGCATTGGACTCATCCGGAGTTTTGTGTTAGTTCACAGAGACCTGAAACCCCACAACATCCTCCTTTCCATGCCCAATGCACATGGCAGGATCAAGGCCATGATCTCCGACTTCGGCCTCTGCAAGAAGCTGGCAGTGGGCAGGCACAGCTTCAGCCGCCGCTCGGGGGTGCCTGGCACCGAAGGCTGGATCGCCCCGGAGATGCTGAGTGAGGACTGCAAGGAGAACCCGGTGAGTACCGAGCACAGGCCTTTGGAGACTGCAGCATCTTGTATCTCCAGGACGAAGAGGCTCCCGTCAGGGTTGGAGGGCAGCGACGCGTGTTTAACACACGCTGCTGGCCCTTCGCGTCGTCTCACGACCAGATGAATGAAAGGGGCGAACGGGAGCAAGTGTCTGGTTTTCCCCTCCTTCCCCAGTCACTTCCCCGTATGTGGGAACTCGGAGCTTCCACCAGGTGAACAAACTTCCATTTGTTTTGTCTTTGTTTTTGTTCTCCCAACTTTTTATTTTGAGAATTTTTAAGATGTGCAGAAAATACCTCTGTACCTCTGTCCAGATTCAACATTTGTTGATTATTTTTCACTTTCTCTCTGTCTGTTGCTGAACCAAGTGAATATAAAAGGGAAGCATCCCAGTCCTTCACCCATAAATACCCTCGCAGCTGTCTCTCAAGAGCAAGCACAGTCCTAACCTTTATACCATTCACACCTCAACAGTAATGTTTGACGTCGGACACTCAGTCTGTATTCACATTGCCCCAGATCCACTCACAGAGCAGGTTTTTGTAAACCTGGGTCCAGTCAGGTGCCTTGTATTACATGTGACGCTCTCCCCTTTAATCTGCTTCCGTCCTCCAACCTCTGCTTCATGGCAGTGGCATTTGACCCATTTGGGCTTGCTCACTCGTTTCCTCATAGTGGTATGTCACTCGCCCGTCCAGTCCTTGTATTCCCTGTGAACTAAAAATAGGTCCAAGGGACCGATTGGATTAAAGGCAGATGTTCTGAAGCAACCGTCACAGGACACAGCCTCAGGAGGCACCACATGGCAGGTTGTACCGTTGGTACTGGACGCCTGCTAGTGATGCCAACGTGGCTCACTCGACACAGGTGGCACCTGCTTTTCTCTCCACCACGTCTTCCTCTTTGTTGTTAGTTCCCTGAGGGGCGATGTTTGGCAGCGTGGATGGTATCCTCTTTTCCCATTCACCCGATGGCACCGCAAAACTGACAGTCCCTCCTGGAATTCCTTCACTCAGTGGGGATTCTGCATTTACTAGCTGACATATTTTTATAAAGAAGAGTTTTATTTCTGATCCCCTTTCTCTCTCTCCCTCTCCCTCTCTCTCTCTCTCTCTCTCTCTCTCTCTTTCTCTCTTTTTACTATGAATTCATGGATTTTTAAAATAGTGTTATAATTCATTATAGTCCCTTTTTTCCCCTATTCTTTTTTCTTTTTGTTTTTGCTTTTGACACTCAAATTGTTCCAGATTGGTTCAACGGGAGCCCTCCTGCTGGCTTCTTCATCCTTTTGCTGAGAGCCCATTTGTGTCTCGGCACCTTTACCCCACACGCCCCCGATCCAGACCTGGGTGGGATCAGCCAGTCTGACTTAGATGAGATTCCGTCGATCCCTCTTACCCCATTCACGGGGGACCAGCAGCTGGTCAGTGAGTCTAAGAAGTCAGTTATGGTGAAGAGTCATGAGGAAATTCATCGCACTTTAACTTAAAGCAAGCACTGTGATTCCTTAAGGAATAGGAATCCTTGATGTAGGTTTTTTTTCTTCGCATTCCAGTCCAACTGAATGGAGTTTTCATTTCCTCTCCTGTATAAAGACCTCACATGCCCCTTCTGCGCCTCCTAGTTTGAGACCTAGACATCTCACACCGTCCTAAGGGCAGAATCCTAGCTAACTATGCCCCAGTCCCTTACAGTGGAGTCTCCCACATCTAATTCATAGGATTATGTAGCCACTCCCCTTTATTGGATCTTCACAAACTCAGCTCACCTCAAACTTGGTGGCAGTCATGTTTCCCAGCTTATGGAATATTTAATTAAAGAGCAAGTGGCAATAATAAGTTTGGAAAGAACATAGCTGAGCGTAGAAATGAGCTGGTGGGAGCAGGGCACCCAGGCGTGTAGGACAAGAGGCCCCGGCATCAGTGTTGAGTGTATGGGGGTGCCAGGCAGCGCAGATTGTGGCAGATGGGGAGCTTGAATGATACCGAGCAGGTGAAGCGACAGGTGAGAGCTTCAGCTGTGGTGGACTTGCTCCTCTGTGCTGAATCTGTCTCCCACGTGAGGACAATCCTGATGAGACAAAGATGGTGGGGCCTGGGAATTGGAAGACCTGAGTCTCGTCCTTGAATAGGACAAGCTTGTCCTGGTCCCCATTGGACCTCTCTGCCCACATTCGCTGTGCTCACCTCGTAGGGCTGTGCTGAGAGTGGACGACAGGTCATTGTCGTTACAGGAGTATTTTCCCCAGAGTGGAAGGTGACGGCTTCTGGGTTTCTCTCCCTGGTCCTCCCGTGTCTGCTGGAGAATCTCAGTGGGCAACCTGGCCGCAGGCCATGCTCTGGAGCCACCTAGTGTTACATCCAAGTAGCGCAGGCTGGAAACCACATTAATGTTTCCAAAAGTCCCCCAGACACAGAGTTTGTGGCATAAGTGAGAGGCGTAAGCGACATCAGTTTACGCCTGGAAAAGCTGTCACATAGTTTCTCTCTGGGACTGTTTTTGAAGCAGCAAATGTTTTATTCCTTTATTAGCTATGTTTTAAAGCCTAACGTAAGCAGGCCCCGGGAGCACACCGGGCAGCAAAGGCACAGAAATCCCCACCTCCAAGGAGCCCCCTGCTGGCCTGGTAAAGAGTAGCTGAGGGCTAGGGGGGAGCTTCCTGGGGCCACACACTAGTCTAGGTGAGTTTTCACATATCAGTGCCCTTAATCTTCATAACCACCTGAGGGGCATTGCATGTTCTCTCCTTTTTCCGTTGGAGGACATGAGGCACAGAGCAGCCGCCGGGCTTCCGGCTGGCCGGTGGCAGAGCCGGCTCCCGGAAGTCGGCCCCAGAGTCCATGTCTCAAGATGAACACGCCACCCGAGCGGCCCCCACAGGGGCCCAGCACTGCTCCCAGCAATCCCCAGACGTCACCCCGTCCTCCAGGACATGGAGGAAGAGGCAGCCACACTCCCCTGCTGCTGGGGAGGGGCTCCCAGGAGGCTTCACACCCGCGCTTCTTTCCAGACCTACACGGTGGACATCTTCTCCGCGGGCTGCGTGTTCTACTACGTGGTTTCTGAGGGCAGCCACCCCTTCGGCAAGTCCCTGCAGCGACAGGCCAACATCCTCCTGGGCGCCTACAGCCTCAACTGCCTGCAGCCCGAGAAGCACGGTGAGCGGGCCGCGGGCAGGGCGCGCGGGGAAGGAGCCGCTCCTCAGCTGCCGGCCGCCCCCGCGCTGGGTGGTGCCAGCTCTGTGCCCAGGGGTCCTCCCCGGCCCCTGTGGCTGGAGGGGCTGTTCCTGCTGCACATCCTTCGAGAGCCAAGAAGCTTGGTTTCCGTCAGGTCCCCCAGTTACCGTGGGGACCTGTGTTCTCCGGCTCGGGACCGGTGAGGGTTATATAATCTGAGGTCTTTCCCACACTGATATTTAGAAGGACATGCATCCCATGCGCCATACGCTGGACTGGCTCTGGCCTGTGCCCATGGTCAGCATGGCCAGTGGCTGCAGGCGGGACAGGCAGGCTGGGTCCTCACTTCCAGGCGTGGGTGCAGCAAGTCTTCCTGGCCTCAGGCCTTTCTGTGTTGTTATTCACCCACAACACCCAGTTCTTAAAAAAGCCTTTAACTTCTTAAAATTAAAAACTAACTTAGCTTTTTGCTTATGGATTAATTTCCCTTGTTCCCTGTTGAGAAACTCCATTATATGGTGATGAATGACTGCTGATGACACCTTTGTATATATTAATATTATTCTGGTCATCTATCTAGACATATGTGCATAGGTACATATTATTTCGCAACATGCTCGATTCTTAGCTTCACCTTGACTCTGCGTGTCGACCCGTGTTCAGCCGGGCATCATCCTTATGGCCCCCAGTTCAGAGTAGGGGCACAGCCGTCACCGAGCCTCTGAACGGGTATTTCCAGCCCTTTTCGCACTCTGTGATGAGGACTCTCCTTACCCGCTGCCGATTCCCGGGCAAGCTCTTCATTACGTTACAGACCGACTCCTGTCCATGGAGCCTTGAGTCTGAGGGCGTGCGGCCGGTTCAGGTGGGTGGTCCCCTGTGACGCTGGGCTGGTGGTGATGTGTTCGGCCTGTGCTTGTCCTGCAGAGGACGTCATCGCCCGGGAGCTGATCGAGAAGATGATCTCCATGGACCCCCAGAAGCGCCCGTCCGCGAAGCACGTGCTGAAGCACCCCTTCTTCTGGAGCCTCGAGAAGCAGCTGCAGTTCTTCCAGGTGGGCCTGCCCTGCCCAGACCGAGGCGGCCTCGCCGGGCGCTGAGAGGGCAGCAGACAAGGAATGAGACACATGACCCCGACCCCGTACCTAGAGGCCACCCGGCCTGGCCTCTTAATATATTTTCTTCATAAAATTAAAGTGTGATCAGGATCAAGCTATATATACAGTTTTGTAGCTTGCTTTTTTTTTTTTTTACTATATATACTATTTTAAATATTTTTTTATGTTAAGTCTCTAAAGTTCTAATGACTGTTGCATCCTATCATATGTGTGTGCCATCATTTAAAAACTTTATGTTATAGCAGCTTTCAGATGCATAAAGAGTAGAGGGAATATGATAATGAACTCCCAGTTAGCCATCAGCCGGGTCCAGCCATTGTTAACTTAGCTTGGCCCTCTCTCCACTCCACCTGGAAAATATTTTGAAACAAACCTCAGCATCATATAATTTCATTCGAGTTTCGCAGATACAAACATCTCCTTATATTGGGTTTTGGTTTATTCGTTTGCACGGCTCTTAGGATAGATTCTGAGAGGTAAATGACAGGATCAGTGGACATGAACTCCTTTAGAAGTCTGGCTATTTTGCGGCCTCCTGGTGCTGCCAGGTGGCTTTGGGGAAGGTGATGTGTTTCAATGCAGGTGAGGTGCTCAGGTGGGATCTGTGTCATCGCTCTGTCGTGGAGACAGACCGTGTGGGCCTCTCTGCAGTGAGCAACAGACATGGCCACTCCCAGGGGAAAGTTACCTCACGGGGGTGGGGGAGGCAGAAGTCCAGCTGCCCAGCCTGGAGGCCGGCTTCAGCCCCGCTCAGGACTCCGGAGACAGTGACTGCTCTGCCTGGGTGGCGATCCTCCAGCACTCGGCTTCCATCTGCGGCCCTCGTCTCCCTACAGGACGTGAGTGACCGGATAGAGAAGGAGTCCCTGGACGGCCCGATCGTGAAGCAGCTGGAGAGAGGCGGGCGAGCCGTGGTGAAGATGGACTGGAGGGAGAACATCACCGTCCCGCTCCAGACAGGTGAGCACAGATGTTCCAGAGTGCTGAGAACAAACGGGAGCGGCAGCCCCGGGCTGTTAGGCTCCATGCACCACATGCTGGGTGGAGGCTTTCTGTGGTTTAGCGACATGTCAGACCGTTGACGGGTGTGTTTCACTGTTGTCTGGGTGACAGGTCTGTGGTGGGTGGTGCTTGCCTCTGGTCATGGTGTGAGCGGCCGGTGGGATGCAGACTGGCAGGCCCGGGTTCGATCAGAGTGCAGTTATGTTGTTTCAGTCCGATCGCTTAGTCCCCAGGAGCCTCAGGAATTGTTTTCTTGTGAAAAGTGTTCGTTAACGTTGCATTGCTTGTCTTTTTCCTAGATCTGCGTAAATTCAGAACCTACAAAGGTGGCTCCGTCAGAGATCTCCTCCGAGCTATGAGAAACAAGGTGAGGGCTGCGAACCAGCCACTCAGCCACCCTCTCCTCCTGTCCGTTCTCTCCGCATCCTTTCACCCGGCCTGGGATTTTGACCTCGCAGAGCTGGGCGGCCTTAGCCAGACCTGGCAAAGTAGGGGCTTGCTTCCCGTAGACGGGCTTTGTCTTCGGGGACCTTGAGGTGAGCAGCCTGCCTGGGAAGCAGACTCTGCTGCTGGCGTCCTTTGTGGTCTCCGCTGACTGTGCGGTGCCCGCTGCCTGCCCAATCCAGCACCATATCAACCCCTACAGGACCCTCTGGGCACTTCCCGCACCGGCCTGTCTCCAGGGCCCTGGGGCAGGGCCCCCTTGTTCTCCGGAGGGACCCGAGTATCTGGCCCTGAGCAGTCTTCAAACAGGGCCAGGCCCAGACGAGGCCTCCAAGCCCCTTGGGGCAGACACTTCAGTTCCAGGCGCCTTTATTCCGCTGGAGGCTGCCAGGGGCCTCGCTAGGTCCCCATGTGGGGCCTTGCTCAGCTCCGATCTCCTCCGAGCGAGGGGAGGCAGCCATGGTGAGCGGGACGGATGGTGGGCCGCTTAGAACTTCCCCCTTTCCTTTGCAGAGAAGTAGTTAACATTTTCTTCCTTGAGAAATAGAAGGATCTCTGGCCAGCGTTTCTTGGGCTCTAACTGACCGCCCTTTCTGTGTCCGCCCCGTTTGCAGAAGCACCACTACCGGGAGCTCCCCGTGGAGGTGCGGGAGACCCTGGGCTCCCTCCCCGACGACTTCGTGTGCTACTTCACGTCGCGCTTCCCCCACCTGCTCTCCCACACCTACCGGGCCATGGAGCTGTGCAGCCACGAGAGGCTCTTCCAGCCCTACTACTTCCACCCGCCCCCCGGGCCCCGGGCCCCCGCGACTCCGGACGCCACCGAGTCAGACCGGACTCCGTCCTGTGGCCCCAGCTGTGACTGAGCGCCCCATGGCTGCAATCAGAGCCTGAGGCCATGCTTAGCAAGAAGACCAGGCTCCCAAACCAGTGCCTTGAGCCGCCTGCTCTGCAGCTGGCGGAGGAGGGTCTGACCCTAGACGGGAGAGGTGACCCCTCCTGACCTGCAGGAAGCTGGGAAGACGGGGTGAAAGCTTCACCCCAGGGAACAGCTGTAGGAAGGGAGCAGCAGAGCGTCTCCACCTCCTCCTGGATAGACTGGCTTCAGACATGTTTCTTTTTAAGTTTCATGTTCGACATCAGCCTGTAGGCCTGGAAGGAAGCGGGAGGAAGAAATCCTAAGCTCTGCCTGGGTGCGGGGCCCCGGGGCTGCTCTCCCCGGCCGGCAGGCTGAGGGGCGCCGACGGAGGGACGGAGGCCACTGGTCACCGAGCACAGCACCCACGCATCCCAGGTCCCTGGACCGGTGCTGCCCGGGGCAGTGGGTGTGGTGTCGGGAAGGTCGGCGCACGCTGGAAAGGGAGGCCATGGCCGCCGGTGTCGGAAATGGAGAGGACGCTCAGTTCCCAGGCAGCTGCGGCCTCCGTGGTGGCTTATGGTGGCTTTGTGGCCTGGACCATTTAGAGATGTTTAGGAGCGTCTAGGAGCAAGAAGTGATACTTCCCTGGCCACAAGGACCCAGGCAGGGACAGGCCTTCGGGACCGGAGGGTCAGGGGCCTACCTGGCCACTCAGAGGGCAGACGGTGAGGCCTCTCTGTCCCTGGAGCCAGCGGGATGGCCGGGGGCTTGGTGGCCAAGGCCAGGCTCCCCGCGTACCTCGTGGGCAGGACTTTCTGTTTCTCTTGGCAGATTTTAATAACTTTATAGTTTGATCACACTGTAGAACGCTACATTAGCACCTGTGAGCTAAGCGTCACGTGAAGCTTGCTCATGAAAACATGCAATACATCTGTTGTGTGTGGTACCCCGCCCCCCCTCGGCCAGGAAGAGTGTTCGTATTCAGAACGTTCTACAAGCATTACCGCGTCACTATGCACACAGGCCGTCCTCAAAGTGATATTCCCTAAACCGCCGATGCCATTTAATGTAATTTTTAATTTTCGTTTTAGTCAGTTGCTGTCTTTTCTCCACCGAGAGCCTTAGTGGTTGCATGCAGTGAGGGTACCACGTGAGGAAGTGTTTCCTGTGCACGTGCTCCGGCCGGGAGCGTGCGTGCGGTTCCGTCCTGTGGACGCGGAGACTCCGCGGGGAGCGCGCGTGTGGCCGTGGCGTTCACTGGCTGACGGGAAGCCACTGTTTCTTATGTGCTCTGCCTCTGCAGCCTTCCGTTCCCTTTCCTGATCCTGCGGTCACTTGTTCTCCCAAATAGTGCCCCGCCTCTGTGAAGCTCACCAGTTACCTCATTCCCACCCGGGGGCCTGGCGTCCTTGGTTTTTCAGGAGGACAGCCAGCGGGTGGTTCTCCCGCTCTCATTGGCCTGTGCCAGCTCCGTCCCCGGGTCACTGCCACCAGCTCGAGGGCCAGGCGGAGGGGTACCCGCGCTCTGCTGAGCGTTCTCTCTGCCGAGTAGCCAGGTCCTTTCTAGCCGCCCAGTACTTGTCTTCTCTCCATTTTGGCTCAACTCACCTGCAGGACAGCTTCTTTCTAAAATGCCTTTTCTGCTGACCATACTTGTTTCTAACCACCCAACTCAGACTCAGTGATAGCCATTTGCTGGGGACAGAGAGAGGGACAAGATAGAACCCGTGCTCTCAGGAGCCTGTGGTGAGAGACAACGACCCGTTAACGTCAGCGCATGAAGGAGCCCAGGGGTGGGGAAGGGCGTGCATTTGGGGTTTCTATCTTTCCAGTCTTAAAGCGCCCGGACCCCTCGGAACAGGTCAGATTGCTCTCTGTCCATCTTCTCTCCATCACCTTCGTGATCCTGGCCTGCAGGGGCCTGCAGAGGTCTTGTGTGGACGCTTGCCATGAAAACATCCTGTGGTAGATCCCGTCTCAGCCTCTAGAACCTGCTGAGCTGCTGATCTGTGGGACCTGGAGTACGAGTCCTGGAAGCTGCTGGACTTTTTAGAAGTATTCGGTTTTATTTTTACAACCCTTTCCTCTGATTGCTTCTTAAGCTTTTTAACTTCATTTTATAAAGATTCCACATGTCACTAGGCATCCGAGCCTTGGCACTTTGGGACTCACTGGTGTTACTGGATGAGTCACTAAACCAGCGAGGCGCTGACGTACAAAATCCTGGGCGCAGAGGTGTCCCCTCTCCCGTCTCAGTGCGACGGTCGCCGTAAGCTCTTTGCAGCGAGACGGCACTCGGACCTGTGTTGTATTGGAAGAGCTGCAGGCCAGCGAGTCCAGCAAAGTATTTTCTTCCCATCAAGAAGGTCCTATCAGCATTTACCCTGGTCCTCCCACTAAGGCTTTGTGGACGTGACTCGGCTATCTGTGTGACTCTGCCTCGTGGCAGTAGAAGGTGACTTGGTTGCCGATCTGACCTCGCGCTGACGTGGGTGGGGGCCTTTGGGTCTGTGCTTTCTCCTCCTGGCCGCTGTCGTTTCAGAAGCTGGACTCTGGCCAGCCTCCCAGTACTTTGGGTTTCCCAGGACTGTTCCCGTTCTCCATCTGCCCACTGGCTGGTTCCTGCGGACGTGGGCTGGCTCCGCGTCCGCAGCCCTCCGTGCAGAAGGAGCAAGCCCAGCACCCTGTAGAGAGCCCTTCCCCTCCTCTTTAGCTTTCACTCAGTGTCTGAAACCCCTTTCCTCCCTCCCTCCCGGCGTCGTTGCCCTGGCCATCCCTGTGCCGGCCTGGCGTGGTTCAGATGCGTGTGCCGGCAGCAGCCTTTCCCAGGAAGTCGCTGTGTCCCCTCCAGATAAGCCAGACTTCCTCCTCCCAGGGGAACCAAAGCCTCTGTCCTCTCTGTACTTCCTGTAAGAAACAGTGATTTATTTCCCATGCGTGACTCCGGTTCTGACCGTGGCAGCACTTAAACCTCTCCTGTTCCTTGGGGAACCCCAGAGCCGTCTGCAGTGAGCCTCCCTCCGGGGCAGCCTTAACCCACAGCCCCGGCCCTGGCCCCACGCCCGCCTCCCGAGCTCTGCGTGCGGGGGGGGGGGGGGGGGGGGCAGTATTCCTTTCCAGTACCCCAGAAGCTGTGACGGGGGTGTCCCCACTACCTGGAAAGCATTACCAGTCAACTCAGCCACATTCTCAGATGCAAACCTTATGTAGTGTTCTTTTTTGCAATGACCTATTTATTTAACCTATTTATATTTATTTAATTTTTACTCTGAAGTATACCCCAGTTACAATTGCACTTGCTTAAAAGCATAGACGATTTGTTTTGGACAACACCCCTGACCATTTTAAAACTGGAAAAGGAAAAGTTATACTGTATCCTTTTGCGGGATGGATGCCTTACAGTAGCTTTGATAGGAAAGGGTGAATAATTTGGTCGTGGTAAAAATGTTAATTTTTAAGTGATTTAAGAAATTCTGTGCCATCGCGTCTTCTCTATGGATGGTTACTTGTTAAATGCGTGTTAATTATGTGAAACAATCCTCTTTGTGGAGCCTAAAATCCTCCTTTTTAGCTTTATATTTTATAAACTGCCAGATTGTACAATTTTTATGTGTATTTTTAAAGCTTGATGATGTGAGGGTAATTATATAAGTTAAATGGCCTATTTTTGTACCTCCTGTACAGTTTTATAATTCTGCTGATTGATGATGGCGTCTCACGTTGAGCCAACCACAAATAAAGGTAGTTTTAGATTTGGAAGCCGGTTTCTTCTTAAAGATGCAACCACCACTCAGACCAAGGGGCTGATCCCAGCTGTCTCCTGGGGCGAGGGGGTGGCGCAGCCGGTGGGAAGACGGTGGGGTGCGGTTGCCTGCTGTGTCAGTGGCAGGGAACGGGGCTGGGACATCCATCTTCCATGGTGGCTCTCTGTGGGAAAAGTCCCTTTGAAACAGCAGGTAGTCCCCCAAAGTGTCAATTTGAGCTGAATGCCAGGAAGGTGGCCAAGTTGGGACAGACTTGCCTCATGGTGAGGATTGGGCTCCAGCAGAGTTTGGGGCACACGTACAGTGAACAGGCTGCTGGACCAAGAAATCTGGGAAGAGAGAAACCCACTGGGGAGATCGGCCAGCACAGAGCTGGGAAAGCACGGAGTGTGTCCTCCCGCACGCCAAGAGACGCGTTCTCCTCCCATCCATCCCTCTGGAATCAGGGGGCTCCGCTTTCTCCTGCAACACCCGAAGGGAGACGCCGAAGGGCCCACCAGCCCCCGGACAGCGGAGCCTGGGCTCAGCTTCAAGGTTGTCTCCTTCCATGTGGCCCCCAACATCCCATCCCCCGCCTCAGAGGGCACCGGATGTCCCTGAGAACCACAGACACACCCGCCTGCCCTCTGCAGCTCCGGACACAGCAAAGCCAAGGGCACACGAGGAGCTGCTCGCTTCCCGTCACCTGGTGCAGCAGCAGAGACAGCTCCTGCATTCCCCTCACAGCTATTACGCCAGGACTGCGTCTACCAGGCTAGGGAGGAAGGCAGCTGGTAGCACCCTTAGCTGCTGCTGAGAACAGAGAGAGGAGGCCAGCAGGTGGTGGAGCCGCTGGCACTGCAGGGACGGGGCTCCGGCATGGAGGTGGGGTTTGCCGCTTTCGTGCTGAGTCAGTCGGCTTTGGGCTGCAAAGACAATGTGTTTTCTTAGTGTCTGGTGCACGTTATTAAACACTCGAGGCCTGGTGCACAAAATTCATGCATGAGCAGGGTCCCTAAGCCTGGCCAGCGACCAGGGTTGATTAGGGCCTTCCGGCTGCCGGCCATGGCCTTCCTTAGCTGGCTTCTGGCTGCCGGCCAGGGCCTTCATTCCATACCATCCCCTGGTGATCAGTGCACATCATAGTGAGCCATCAAACTCCTGGTCTCCCAGCCGAACTCCCGAGGGGACACTTTGAATATTAGCCTTTTTTATATATAGACTAGAGGCCCGTTGCATGATATTTGTGTAGGAATAGGTCCCTGGTTTCACTCCCAGCCGCCCAGGAGCCAGCAAGTCCCTGCTCCCCAGCTGCCTGGAGCTGGCAAGTCCTCGCTTCTATCTGGAGCACCACTCCAGTAGCTCCCTCATAGCTCCCTCTGCCGCCCCCCTTCCCCTCATAGCAGGTTTCACACCACTCTGTCCCTGTATATGCAAATTAACCTCCATATTTGTTAGGTTAAGTTGCATACTCACTCTGATTGGCTGTGGGTGTAGCGGAGTGATGGTTAATTTGCATGATTCTCTCTTATTAGGTAAGATATGCACACACATACACAACTGCATTCCATCAGCAAATGCATTTATCGGACTCTATTATATTTGTCTCAGTGGGGTCATGTGTTAGCTTCAAGAGATGACAACAGCCAATACTGGGCCAGACACTGTGCTGGAGCATCGGTGCCCTGATCGGTCCTTGGCCTTCACATGGTCCACTTCAGTGAGAGACTGACCAGACTCTTCGGCTGGGCCAAAAACGGGTCTGAGCCCACCCGCTGTGGGCAGAGGAGCAGGGCTGGGAAGAGCTCGGCAGCCCCCGGGAAACCATAGTGACGGTTGGAGGGGGCCCTGTCCCAGAAACAGGAGGGGCAGCCCAGCTGGATAGTACCTGAGTCAACTTGACCCCCAGAGCAGATGGGCAGGTGAGCCCAGTAAGTGCTCTTCCCTGCTGTCTCCTCTTCCTGCCGCTCCGAGTCCCTTCCCAGGCCCGTGCCGTGACTTGGAGGAAGCCACGGGAGTGCCTGTGGAGTGTGCCTGGAGGTGACACAAAGCTGGAAAGAGTGACTAGCACCAACGTGGTTCGTGACCCAATCAAGATTTCGGGAGATGCCGAGAAACTGGAATGCTGAGTCTCAACCCTAAGAAAGTGACAGGAAGTCCTGCCTTGATCGTAAGGATGGGGCTGGGGGTGAAGGCCAGGGCTGTGAGGGGCCTAGAGAAACCGCCGTTGGGCCCTCAGACATCTGTCATGGACGGAACTGGCTTTGCTGTCTCGTTCCAGGTTTGAGCCGGAGCAGGGCCCAGGAGGGCAGACCCAGCACCAGGAGGGGGCTGCCCATCAGCCCGAGCTGCCCAGGGGCCAAAGGAGGTGCTGAGAATGAGTGAGTGAGGAGTCTGTTTGCTTCTGGTTTTGAGGGTTTGGTGTGTGTGTGTGTGTGTGTGTGTGTGTGTGTGTGTGTTTGCATGACGGGGGTTGGGGGGAGATTCCAATGGAGAAGAACAGACGAGGCAGAAATTGTTTTTTGGGTCGGAGGTTGGACTCGGATTCCTTCCAGATAAGCGCAGATGACTTAGGCCTGTCCTTCCCTGTGGTGAGTTCCTGGAGGAGGCTTCCTGAGCGGGTATGAATCACAGGAAGTGGGGAAGGGAGTGGAGAGGAGGGACCAGGAGAGCTGAGCATTCGGTAGGGTGGGGTGTCTCATGTTCCAGACACATGCCCTCAGGGGTGGTTAGGAGCAGGTGAGAGAACAAGGCCCACGGCTGACTCACTTAGGACAATTGAGTTTGCACCTCAGAGTACAAAGGAGATTTCATACATTTAGGTTAAAAGGCTCAATGACCAAATGAATTTGGGGGACGTTGGGATACAAACAGATTTTGATGGCATTGCTGTTCAGAGGCCCTTCATGTGCTAACAGCTTGTTCTCTAAGATGGGATATACACTTACCCCCAAAGATTGCCTTTCATTTATTTTTTTAAAAAGGGAGGGCCCTAGTCGGTTTGGTTCCGTGGACAGAGCATCAGCCTATGGACTGAAGGGTCCTGGGTTCAATTCCAGTCAAGGGCACATGCCTGGATGGCGGGCTCCATCCCCAGTAAGGGGGCATGCAGGAGGCAGCCGATCAATGATTCCCTCTTATCATTAATGTTTCTGTCTCTCTCTCCCTCTCCCTTCCGCTCTGAAAGCAATTAAAAGAAAAGGGGGGGGGGGGGCTGTTTGGAATGGCAGCAGTAATGTTATGTTTCCATCTAATCTTATTTTCTTTTTCTCTTTCCAGGAAGACATCCCCAGCCTCTCCTTTCGTGGAGACCCAGCACCAAAGGAAGGCCTGGAGCCGGCCAGTGCAGGCCACACGCAGTTCACTCTGCAACCTGCCTGCTGACTGACGAGTCCTCTGGGGATGTGTGGTCTCTGGCTCTGGACTGAAACTGGCTCCAGCAAAAAGGCCAGAAGGCCTGGCTGGTGGACGCTGACCTGCGGGAAAGGCCTCAGGCATGGCTGGAACCGTCAGAGCACTTTCACCTCTTCTCTGAGCATTCGACCTTCTCACCTTTTACAGACTCACTGCCCTGTGAATGGGAGTCTTGACTTCCTCTGATCTCTGCAATTTTGCAGGAAAAGACTCTTTCCCCAACTTGTTTAAAACACACGCACGCGTGCGCGCGCACAGACACACACACACACACTTACGTAAATACCTGAAATACTGCAATGCCAACCTTGGTGCAATCATTTCGCCAGGAAGGTGGGCTGGCGTAGGAGGACAGGAGCTCCACAGAAAACCTGTTTGTGGTCGAGAAAGGAGGGGTTCTTCTCCAGAAGAGGCAAGTCCAGCCATCCCTCCTGTGGGAAATGTGAATGAGACATGTGCCCTAATTTTTTAAACAAGTTTTTATATATCCTATTAATAAAAGGCTAATATGCAAATAGACTGAATGGCGGAATGACTGGTCACTATGACATGCCCTGATCACCAGGGGGCAGACGCTCAAGGCAGGAGCTGCCCCCTGCTGGTCAGTGCGCTCCCACAGGGGGCGTGCAGCTCAGCCAGAGGCCAGGCTCACAGCTGGTGAGAATAGTGGCGGTGGCAGGAGCCTCTTCTGCCTCCAGGGCAGCACTAAGGATGTCTGACTGCTGACAGGCCTGCTCCCCATGGCGACCAAGTCTAAGCCAGCAGTTGGACATTCCCTGAGGGCTTCTGGACTGCGAAAGGGTGCAGGCTGGGCTGAGGGACACCCCTCTCAGTGCACAAATTTTGTGCACCAAGCCTCTGTGTGTGTGTGTGTGTGTGTGTGTGTGTGTGTGGCTAATATGCAAAGTGACCCCCCCAGGAGTTCTAGCAGGAGAGCGGGAGTTCGATTACTTGCTATGACTTACACTGACCACCAGTGGGTGTCATGGAATGAAGGAAGGCCCTGATCAGCCCTGATCGCTGGCCTAGGGACCCTACCCATGCACGAGTTTTGTGCACCAGGCCTCTAGTAGATAGATAGATAGGTAGATAGATAGATAGATAGATAGATAGATAGATAGATAGAGATAGATTTCAGAGAGGAAGGGAGAGAAGAGAGAGGAGAGGAGAGAAGAGGAGAGGAGAGGAGAGAGAGAAAGAGAGACATCAATGATGAGAGAGAATCATTTATAGGCCGCCTCCTGCACCCCCACACCCCTCCTGGGGACCAAGCCTGCAACCAGGCATGTGTCCCGATGGGGAAATCAAACCTGACCCCCTGGTTCATAGGTTGATGCTCAGCCACTCAGCCATACTGCTGGGCCCTAATCTGTACCTACCACAGATACCATCAAAGCTCTGAAGTCACGTGGGCTCCGCAAAGCCTTTGGGCCTGAGGCCCCCACCTCGACCTCCCTTGCTTAAGTTTTGACAGCAGTGTGACAGGAAGTTTCCAAAACAAACTTCTGTGAAGAAACCAAAACACAAAAGCACCAGGAGAGATGGCTTCGAGCCTAGAAGGCCCTGCGTGGGCACGGCCTTGACCGCCCTGTTGGTCCCTGACGTTGTCTACTCTGTGACGTGGCTAAGCCCGGAGTTTAAAACGGGGCTGGCCTCTGGGAGCGAGATCCCTGCTCGAGGGGGGAGCCTCGTGGCCACCCAGCACCCACCTCTGCACCCAGCTTTGATACTCTCTGCCTATTGAGACAGTCCCTGTGCTAGGGCAGTTTCTTTCTTTCTTTGTTTCTGTGGTTTTTTATCGCTAGGCGAGGTGGCAGATAGGAAGTGATCGGAGAACTCGATGGTTCTTGGTCACAGACAGGTTTCCGTGGTGGAGCCTGTGGAACACGGAGACCCAGCTCAGGGATGTGGACTAGCTTCCTGCAGGGGCAGCCGGTGGCTCACCCTGGAGCTATAGCCTTCATCCTAGGCCCCAAGAGAGAAGAAAATGGCATGGCAGTTCCTCAAAAAATTAAACAGAACTACCGTGTGACACAGCAACCTCTCTCCTGGGTCCGGGCCCCCGAGTCCAAAGCAGGGAGATGAAGAGATACTTGTTCACCCACAGTCACGGTAGCATTCTTCACAACAGCCAGAAGGTGGGAGCAACCCAAGTGTCCATCGACGGAGGAGTAGATACACAAACGTGGTCTATCCGTACCGGGGGATAGTACGCAGCTTTAAAAAGGAAGGCGATTCTGCCCTGGCCGGGCAGCTCGGTTGGTTAGAGCATCGTCCCTCGATGCCAAGGTTGTGGGTTTAATCCCCAGTCAGGGTGCAGACATGAATGGGTGGGTGGATGTATGTGGAGCAACAAATCAATGTCTCTCTCTCTAATCAAAAGTTTTTATTTTAATGTAATTAAAAATTTAAAAAGAGGAAGGAAATTTTGACATGTGCTACGGGATGGATGAACCTCGAGGACATTGTGCTCAGTGCAACAAACAGTCAGAAAAGGACCAAGATCCCACTTAGATGAGGTCCCTAGAGTCGTCCAATTCCTAGGAACAAAGAGTAAAACAGTGGCTGCCAGGGGCTGGGGGAGGGGTGACAGGGGACTGTAGTGCTTCTCCGGGAAGTTTCAGCCTGGGAGGATGGAGAAGTTGGGAGATGGAAGGTGGTGCACAGCAGTGTGACAGTACCGGATGCCTCAGACTGCACACCAAAAAAGACTAACGTGTGACTTTGTTGGCTGTGTATATTTTAATCACTTTTTTTTTTTTTTTTTTAAGGGGGGAGTGGACGGAAAGTGATTAGCGGACGAGAGAGGAGAACCAGGCACAGGAAGCACGTGACTTCTGGGTGGAAGGGAGAAACCTGAATTCACACATCAGAACCCAAGACGCCCAGCGGCAGCATCTCATGCAGCTCCCACCTCTCGGGGCGCCCTGGACCCCCGGCCGCCCCGCCTTCCCCGTCACTCACTCCGTCCAGCAGATGACAGGTAAGGCCACGCTTCTCACCTCCCTTGGCAGAGTGGAAGGGGTTTGGGATGGAGCATCAAAGCCTGAGTTTCAATCCCTCCCCCGCCCTGAACCTTCCTGTTCCCTTCTCTCTCCCCTACACACCCCCCAAGTGCAGGGTTGTGGGGGGAGGAGGCTGGAGAACTCACAGGTCCCCAGCTCCACGGAGCTCCCGTGTGCTCTCTGAGTTCAGGAGCCGTGCTTTGTGGTTGTTTCCTGTTTTTGTCCTTTTGTTTCCTCTCCTGCTCTGTACCGGCGACAGATTAAGAGCCTCGGGGCTGCCTTCTGGTCCGGGGGCCCACGCGGGTGTGCCTGGGCCACGTGAGCCGGGCTGGGGCGTGGGAAGGGACAGTCCCCAACTTCTGGGGCTTGCATCTGGGGTTGATGACGAATCCCAGCGACATCCCCCCTCCTCCGTGAGAGGGGACTTCCTCCCATTCCCAGAGCCTCCTCTTTTGTCTAGGCACGTGGGAATTTGTCTTTTCTCCTGGCATCCTTTTCGTAACATGTAATGTGTGGCACATAACGTAACATAGGTAGCACACATTTATGTTCAGCAGGGTAGTATGGACAGGCCTGAACCCAACACTCAACACAGGGATGACATGTTCCTAAATCTTGCATCTCTACCTGTGCGTTCCTCGCCTCCCACCCAGAGGTAGCCACCTTCCGGATTTTCTTAGTGCTTTATCACATATGCATGCCTATTCTACTTTGTTTCATACTTCTTGGCATAAATTATTTATAGTCATTTTTAATTGTGGTAAAATTCACATAACACAAAATGTGTACTATCTTAACCTTTTTTTTTTTTTTTTTTTTTGGTGTGCTTCTTTATCCATAGTTGAGACATGTATAGTAAAATATCTCACTATGCTGGTGGTTTGATCTCTTGGTAGTTTTTTCAAGATAGATGCTGACACATTTAGAACTATTAGGACTTTCTGGTGAATTGATCCTTTAATTTAGGCAGCCATTTTATCTCCAATCAATATCTTTATCCTAAAAGTCCTCTTTGTCTGATAGCAATAGTTGGTTGTGTTGAGTACATTCATGTTTTTTTGCAACTAATCTCGAGTTTTCTCATACGAAATGGAAACGTGATCCATCAAACAACTCATCAGGCACCGGCAACCACCATTCTACTTTCTTTTTCTGTGAATTTGTAACGTCTTCTTTTCAAAAAATATATTTTTGTTGATTTGAGAGAGGAAGGGAGAGGGAGAGAAAGATAGGAACATCAATGACGAGAGAGAATCATCGATTGGGTGCCTTCTGCATATCCCACATGAGGGAGAGAACCCCCACCCCAGGCATGTGCCCTGACCAGGAATCAGACCATGACCTCCTGATTTATAGGTTGACGCTCAACCACTGAGCCATGCCGCTGGGCTGGAACATCTTTTTAATCTTGTTCCTGTTTTCATTCCTACGAATGTTTACTTGTGCCTTCTTTTGTTTCTAAACAGATATGCCCATTCTGTTTATTTTCTCAAGAACTGTTTGGCATTATCCATCCTGTCTACTTTATTGTCTAGTTTATTGATTTCTGTTCATTATTCTCTTTGAGTTTACTTTTGGGTTTACTTTGTTTTTTATTTTTATTTTTCTAACTTTTTGACTACTTACATTGGATGCTTATTTTAGACTATTTTCTAGTACAAGCATTAAAATTCATACAAGCTAAATAAGGATAAATAAATAAATAAATAAATAAATAAAATTTATACAAGCGAGGTATAAATTTTCCTCTAAGTACCATGTTTGATGCATCCCATAAATTTTTTATATGTTTTTTTCATTACTATTCAATGCTAAATCTTTTAAAATGTGTTATTACCCCCCCCCCTTTTTTTTTTCCTTTGACCCATGGGTTATTTAGGGCATGTTTTTACATTACCAAATATATGGAATTTTAAAACCAACCTTTTAAAAAATTTGAATTCTCTGATTTATTGGTACCTAGCAAGCTTTCAAATTGTGTTTCAGCTCTTCTATTCATTTACTGATTTTTTATCTGCTTCATTATTCATAGTTGAAAGAAGTGTATTAAAGTCTCTTGCTTTGATGGGGGTTTTATCTCTTTGTTCACTTAGCTTGTTCCTAGTAAGTATTTTTATCGTTAGAGTCCTCTCTGTCTGATGTCAGCGGAGCTTTCCTGGCTTTCTCCTGGTTACTGTTTGCCTGGTTACTGTTTGTCTTTTTCCTTCCTTTGACTTTCCACCATTCCATACTCCTGTGTCAAGATCCGGGTCACGCCCATTTGCTAGTCACATCGAAAATTGTGGTTTCTAAGGGAACCAGCCTGAATCACATTAAAAACCTGAGGATTTGACCCTGACAGGTTTGACTCAGTGGATAGAGCATCAGCCTGCAGACTGAAGAGTCCCAGGTTCTATTCCGGTGAAGGGCATGTACCTTGGTTGAGGACACATCCCCAGTGAGAGGTGTGCAGGAGGCAGCTGATTAATGTTTCTAACTCTCTCTCACCTCTCTCTCTGTAAATAAATAAATAAATAAATAAATAAATAAATAAATAAATAAAATAAAATATATTAAAAGAAAGATAATTAAAAAAAAATCTGAGGATTTATAAAGATCATGGAACCCTGGTTGTCCCAGTTTATAGCCCAGCTGTAGCCTGGGGGACAGCAGCAGGAGAAAGATGTGCTAAGTGGGCCCTCAAGAAGGTGGTTTGGGCTGTTTATTAAGACTGTCTTTCATTCGTTTGCTAATCCACCATCCATGCAGCTACTGACTGAACGGTTATTAAGACCTACTGTGTGCCAGGCAGTGTCACTTCCTGGCGGCTATAGCTCCTGCCCTCATAGATGGAAAGGCCAGTGGGGAGGGAGGGGAGACTGACCTGTGAGCTCTCAGGAGGCAGTACGCCTGTTTAACAAAGCCATGCGCACAGGCCTGGTTGGCCCCAGCTGTGACTCAGTTTCCCCTTCTGTAAGATGGGGACAGTAACAGGACCTGCCTGGTAGAGTTGGGGGATTCATTAGTTAATATTTGCAGAGTGCTTGTGACCAGTAGTCAGTAACTGTTCATTTTATTGTGTTACTGGTGTGATTGCTTTTGTAGTGATTGTTATTATTATTCCGACCCAGTGGAGGCCACAGAGCCCCACAGCAGGGCCCACTGTCTGATCGGCTGGGGCGGCCCCTCAGCCTCTAGCTTGGGGGGGACGAGTGTTTCCCGCAGCCGCACCGTGGGCTGGAGTTCAGTCCCACTCTCTTCTCCATCTTCTCTGAGTCATTCCGAGGCCCGGCGAGCGGCCTGCCTCTGGCTTCCCTGGGTCCTTGCTGACAAGCGCTGCCCTCCACAGCCACACACTGTAGTAGCAGCAGCCAAAGAGAAAGGCATGGCCTCTCCCCGCCCTCCCAACCCAGGAGCAAGGTGTGGCCTGAGCCCTGAAAATGCTGGGCCATCCCTTTGGCAAGGCCCCATCTGCGGGGGGAGATGGGGGAATAGGGGGGCACGGCTGAGAAAGCAAGGAAGCCTGCTGCTTGTCCCCCGGGCCTCCTGGCCACAACGGGAGCCATAGAAGCCTCCTGGCAAGACCCTCCCACCATCGGAACCCCCCTCACTGCTCACTGCGTCCGAGGGTCCCGCAACAGGTGACAAAGCTCCAGGAAACACACGCAGCTTGTCAGACCCTAACCCCAGACCTCTGCTCCCCACCTGGACGGGGAGGGGAGACCCCAAAGTCAGGTCCGGAAATGGAGGCTGAGGGTTTGGGCTACGGTCAGACTGATCCCATAACCTCTGTCTGTGCCTGGGCCGAGGGGGTTGGGAGATTTCCTGAGGTTGTCGCCTCAGACCTTCCCGTATGGGCTGAGCAGGGACAGGTCGGGGCTGAGAGCCATGCGTGTCTGAAGGTTTATGTGGATCTGTGCGGGGCTGTTAGCTGGAGTGCCTCCAAGTCTAAGGTGACCAGACGTCCTGCTTTTGGCGGGACAGTCCCGATTTTTAACAATTTGTCCCACGTCCCATGGCGTTTTAAAAGAGTCTCGATTAGCCGAAACCAGTTTGGCTCAGTGGTAGAGCATCAGTCTGCAGACTGAAAGGTCCCGGGTTCGATTCCGGTCAGGGGCATGTACGTTGGTTGTGGGCACATCCCCGGTAAGGGGCGTGCAAGAGGCGGCTGGTCGATGTTTCTCTCTTATCGATGTTTCTGGCTCTCTATCTCTCTCCCTTTTTCTCTATAAAAAATCAATGAAATATATTTAATAAAAAATAAAAAAAAAGTCCCGATTTTTGGAAAGAATCCCGAGGGACGCGGGACAAATTGGTAAAAATTGGACTGTCCCCGCCAAAAGCGGTGACGTCTGGTCACCTTATCCACGTCCCACCCACTTTCCCTAGAAAAGCGCCGCTCTGTCTGCATTGCGAGGGTGACCCTGTTCTGGACAGGCCCTGACTGAGGACCCCAACAGTGTGTCCTGTGAGATCTGGGGCTCCCTCATCTGGGGCGTGTGGTCGTCACTGTGTTCTGTGCCCACACAGCGCCCCGGAATCCTGTGTGCACGCACAGCACCCACACACGTGTGTGCAGGCACGTCACTCACACGCGTGTACCTCTGCCGGAGCACGCCCAAGGGTCAAGCGGTGGCGCTGGCGGCAGCTCCGCCCTCCTCGCCGGACTCGGGCAGCGTCCACGTGGCTTCCGAGAACTGCTCAGAGAATGAGAGGAAATGCGGTCACCGGCTCCCGAAGGCCCCGCCACCGCTCCCTGACCCCTCGCTCTGTCTCCGCAGGCCCCCTCGGCCGCCGGCCCGCGGACGCCGTCTGAGATGGCCCCTCTCCGCCGCTGGGGCCTGCCCGCCGCGCTCCTGGCTCTGCTCCTCGGCCCAGGTGAGCGGCCGGGTCCGAGGGCGGCCGCCTGCGCCCTGGCCGCGGGGCGGGCGAGCCCGGCGTCTCCGAGGCGTTGGCACGGGGCCCCGCCGCAGGGTGCGGTGGAAACCCGGCTTCCCTGTTGTCTGGTTCATTGATTTCTGTTCATTATTCTGGGCGCAGGCGAGGCTCCCGGCCGGCGGACACCAGGCTGCGTGGCCCCGCAGCCTCTCGGCGTGTGGGCGGGGCAGGTCGTGGAGACGACATGGTGGGCGGAGTGCGGGCCTCAGGAGGGGAAGCAGCTGGGGTTCAAGAGAAGGTGAAGGCATGCCCTCGCCGGTCTTCAGATGCGGCCCTGGGCACAGGAGAGGGGGCAGCGGGCCTCACCCTCTGGCTCTGCTCAGAGCGAAAGTGAAACCGCTCCCAGCGGGTCCAGAGGACGGTGAGGGGAACCTACCACCGGGTGCCACCCACCCTGTTTTGGACAACCTGCCAGGTGCTTTTATTTTATTTATTTATTTTTTAAACTTCAATCTATTTTTTTTATTATATCTTTATTCTCTTTTCCATTCTTTTTTAAAAATATATTTTATTGATTTTTTTACAGAGAGGAAGAGAGAGGGATAGAGAGTTAGAAACACCGATGAGAGAGTATCATCCATCAACTGCCTCCTGCACACTCCCTACTGGGAATGTGCCCGCAACCAAGGTACATGCCCTTGACCTTGACCGGAATCGAACCCGGGACCAACGCTCTCTATCCACTGAGCCAAACCGGTTTTGGCATGCCAGATGCTTTTAAAGGGCTGTCTCACTGGACCGTCACATCCACTTTGGGAAAGGAATGACTGGCCAATTTCACAGATGAAGAAACTGAGGCTCAGAGAGAACAAGCACCTTGCCTGAAGGTCACGTAGCTGGCATGTGGTGAACTCAGGATCCAAGCCCAGCTCTGTGTACCTGCAAAGCCTGTCTCTTGCCACTTCATTGTATTCTGCCATCTGGGGGCTGCGTGAGGGCACGGCGCTGGCACAGGCTGGGCCCCGCTGGTTGGGATCGAGGACCTTCCTGGTCATTGCTGAGAGAGAGGGGAGTGCGGAGGGCTCAGTCTCCAAGCATCACATGCTTCCTGAGTCCGTCACACACAGGACAGTGGGGAACGGGCCCTGCCTTCTAGATGCTCCGACATGGCCGAGGGAGAGTCCGGACGAACGTGAATCACTGGGACATCCCGGGGCCATGGGCGAGGGGCCCGCTTCCGTTCTGACCTCCGCTTCCCCGCATTCTTCCGCGCTGAGCCACAGCATCCTGGCACCTGGCGGTTCCTTCCGCAGACACAGCACCCCCACCCCCCGCCCAGGGCCTCCCTGGGATACGCCCCCAGATGTCTGCAGGGCTCACCCCCACCCCCCTCGTGTCTTTGCTCAAATGTTATTTCAGTGAGGCCTGTGCTAAAGTGCCCCCCTCCCCCTCCCAGTACACATACACCCCCGTTTCCTTTCCCAGGCACTTACCACCGTCCAATGGGCTGGATGTCTGTTCATTGTTATCTGTTTTCTTTTCTTTTTTTAAAATATATTTTATTGATTTTTTACAGAGAGGAAGAGAGAGGGATAGAGAGTTAGAAACATCAATGAGAGAGAGTCATCAATCAGCTGCCTCTTGCACACTCCCTATTGCACAACCACGGTACATGCCCTTGACTGGAATCGAACCTGGGACCTTTCAGTCCACAGGCCGACGCTCTATCCACTGAGCCAAACCGGTCTCGGCTATTGTTATCTGTTCTCTTCACTGGGATGGGAGCTCTGCAGAGGCAGGGTTTGGTGTGCGTTGTGCACTCGCGCAGAGCCTAGGACAGTACTTGGCACACAGCGGGTGTTCAAAGAGTATTTGAGGGAGAAAGGAGAGGAGGAGGGATGGGCTGAACCTGGGCCACGGCCCACCTCCCTCTCAGAGAGGCGGGCAGAGGCGTGCAGGAGGGAGGGCACCTTAGGGCTGGGCCCTGAAGGTTGGCTGGGTTCCCCCTCCATGGGGGCAGAGGGGCATGAGGAAGACGTATCTGTCCGGCGGTGACAGGCTGGAGGAGGGGCAGCCAGAGGCAGGGAGACAGCCCTTGAGGCCTGAACAAGGGTCAGGGGTCTCGGAGCAGAGGGCCATCCCTGGCCTTCCTGCTCTGGGCCCGCCCCCTCGGTCAGACTGGGCCGCTCACTGGGCGGGACGGCGGGGACGTCTGCTGCCCAGAGTCTCCGGTCTTCCAGGGGCCGGGGTGGCGGCGTTCGACGTGTACGCGTCGCCAGAGCAGCTGGTGGTGAAGCACGGGGCGTCCTCGGAGATCAACTGCAGCACCAGCTGCCTGCAGCCGACCGTCAGCGGCTTGGAGACCACCATGAGCAAGGTCCTGCTGGACAAGCAGCCTCAGTGGGAGCGCTACAGGGTCTCCAACTTCTCCACAGACACCATCGTCTACTGCCACTTCACCTGCTCCGGGAAGCAGATGCTTAGGAACATCAGCGTCACCGTGTTCCGTGAGTGCCTCTCGCAGGGCCCTCCTCCCCCCCCCCCCCCCCCCCGGCCAGAGCCTGTCCTGAGTGCTCTGTCCCCCCAGCCCCCCTCCCCCCACCCGGCTCCTGGGCTGACAAGGAGCAGTGCCGAGCCGTGGGCACAGGGTCTGCTCCCACCCTCTGGCCTCCCTGGGCCGCTGGCAGCCCCGCCTCGAGGCCTGCTAGAAGAGGGCGGTCACAGTGCTCAGCCTCCTCCCAGCGCAGCAGCAGCCCCGTCTGTCTGTCCGTCTGTCTGTCTGTCTGACCGTGGAACACCCCAAGCCCCCTGACAAGCGGTGGGGGCACCAGCGGGAGGGCTGCACGCTCTCCAGGGGCGGGTGAGGAGTCCCCACGTGCTTTGCTCCTCCCCTCGGCGAACGTGGGCCCCTCACACACACACACACACACACACGCACACGCCTGCCCACGGCCATGGAGGCCAGGAGGGGCTGGTTCTCCCACCATCGCGGCCCTAAGGCTATTGCTTGGATCCTCCCCCTGGACCAAAGAAAGGGCGCCCTAGATCCAGCACACTGTCCCGGGGTGATGGAGGTCTGGCTCGGAGGGAAATGCGGGTTTGAGAGGGGTTGGAGGAGGCTGTGAACTGACCCTGGAGAACGAAGGCAGGTCTGGCGTTGGCCCCGCCTCTTAAGTGAGAGCTCACAGTCCATGCCCGGTCCCAGCGAGCACTCCCTTCTGCGTCTCTCTGAACGCAATCACTCAACTGTTCAATTTTTAAAAAAATATATTTTATTGATTTTTTTACAGAGAAGGGAGAGAGATAGAGAGCAAGAAATGTTGATGAGAGAGCAAGAAATGTTCATGAGAGAGAAACATCAACCAGCTGCCTCCTGCTCACCCCCTACTGGGGATGTGCCTGCAACCAATGTACATGCCCTTGACCGGAATCGAACCTGGGACCTTTCAGTCCGCAGACCGATGCTCTACCACTGAGCCAAACCGGTTTCGGGTCAACTGTTTAATTTTTAAAGTTCTGGAGAGGAAGGGGACAGATGCAAACACTTATATCTTTCTCATTGGCTGCACAGTTTTTTTCTCTCTCTCTCTCTCTTTCTCTCTCTCTCTCTCTCTTTAATATGTTTTATTGATTTTTTACAGAGAGGAAGAGAGAGGGATAGAGAGTTAGAAACATCAATGAGAGATAATCATTGATCAGCTGCCTCTTGCACACCCCCTACTGGGGATGTGCCCGCAACCAAGGTACATGCCCTTGACCGGAATCAAACCTGGGATCTTTCAGTCCTCAGGCTGACACTCTATCCACTGAGCCAAACCGGTTTCGGCTAGCTGCACAGCTTCTGATCCTCTCTTTGGAGACAGTTAACCACCTCCATGCCTGTCCACCGCAGACACCATCATGTTCCTAGAACTGCCACCCAGCGCCCCTTCACCCTCAACTGCCTCCTTCTTCCTCTCTTACCCGCTGGACGACAAGCCCAGCCGGGGACCTGAGCACACGGTGCCCATAGGGGGTGCTCTTGGCTGGGTGGGCCTGCTGGGACTGTGCCCCCACCTCCCCATTCCTCCCCCACAGACCCCCCGGAGCAAGTGCTGCTGAAGCTGCAGCCCACGTGGGTGACGGTGGGCAGAGCCTTCACCATGGAGTGCCGGGTGCCGGCGGTGGCCCCCCTTGAGGACCTCACCCTCACCCTGCTCCGTGGCCAGGAGCCCCTGCACACGAAGACCTTTGAGGGGGCCACGGCCGCCCCACAGGAAGCCAGCGTCACCCACAACAGCACGGCTCACAAGGACGACGGTCGCCACAACTTCTCCTGCCGGGCGGAGCTGGACCTGCGGCCTCGCGGTGGGGCCGTCATCCGGAGAACCTCGGAGCCCCAGGCGCTGGAGATCCACGGTGAGGAGGAGGCCCCGCCTGCCCGGAGGGCGGGGGGAAGGGCAGTGCACTCGCTGTAGGCCCTTAGGGAAGTCAGAACCTCAGCCCACTCTCCGCCAGCTCCCAGGGTAGGCACCAGGGGCCCCACCCCCGATCCCGAGGGCTTCCTCTTATGCTCCCTCCTCCCTGACGCTCTCGCCAAGCCCCCAGCGTGCACCTGGACCAGGTGCCTGGCCATCAGTGAGCTGTGTGACCTTGGCCAAGTCAACTTCCTCTCTACAATGAAAAGGTTGACCTAACTGACCCCTCTGGTCTTCTAGAACACCACTGTTCTTTGGTTCTTTTTGTTGTGATTAGTCCTCACCTGAGAATACTTTCCAATGATTTTAGAAAGAGCAGAAGAGGGGGGGAGGGGAGAGAGAGAGAGAGAGAGAGAGAGAGAGAGAGAGAGAGAGAGAGAGAGACATTGACACGAGAGACACACATTTATTGATTGCCTCCCGCACGCACACCCCCCGACCCGACTGGGAATCAAACCCACAACCCTCATGCTCATCTACACCAGCCGGCGGTTCTGTGACTCTGGGTGGCAGGTGTTCCCTGTCTTCAGAGCGTTTGATACCCTGTTTCCCCGAAAATAAGACAGTGTCTTATATTTTTTTTCTCCCAAAGTTGCGCTAGGTCTTATTTTCAGGCGATGTCTTATCTTTCCATGTGCTAGGTCTTATTTTCGGAGGATGTCTTCTTTTCGGGGAAACACAGAAACTCGCTCGGCTCTGCCCAGGGAGGGGTCGGCGTGCACTGCCCAGACCATGGTGTCCAGAGGCCACATGCTGTCCTCACAGCCTCCCCGGGGCCTGGCTGGCCGCCTGGACCCCAGCTCACCTTTCCCCTAGTCAGTGCCCCATTTGTCACTCATCCCGGTGACACGCGGTGGCTGCAGGATGGAGGGGGGTGGATCTCACTCCCCCTTGGGCCCTGGCACCTAGGACCACAGCACTTTTTTTTTTTTTTAATCTTTATTGTTGAAAGTATTACCTGTGTCTCCTTTCCCCCCATGGACCCTCCTCAGCCCCTTCTGCGGCCGTGGGTTATGCATATGTGCGCACAAGGCCTGAGGCCTTCTCAGACCGCTGCCCCTCCCCCCCCAGAGCCGATGCCGGACAACCAGATGGTCGTCATCATCGCGGTGGTGTCGGTGCTGCTGCTCCTGTTTGTGGTGTCCGTCCTGCTGTGCTTTGTCTTCGGCCAGCAGTGGCACCAGCGGCGGAGAGGCAATTACGGGGTGCAGGCAGCCTGGCGGAGACTGAGGCGCTCCTTCCGGGCGTAGCCTGCCTGCGGGGCGTGGCCCTGCCACGGCAGCCACCGGACTCAGCGTGGCTCTCAGGGACGTGGCCCGTGGCCCGGCCACGGCGGAGGGACAGTGACCAGCAGCCGAGGACCGTGGGCACCTTTCCTTTTCAGGGCTGAATACAAACACCTGGACTTAACCCTGTGCCTCGGGTCCCCTCCTGGGAGAGGACTTAACTAACGGCCGGGAAGGTGACTGACTCACTGGGCCTACACTTCTCTCCCCAGACGCCTCCTCAGGGTCCCTCCACCCTCTGCTCACAGCGGTCTCGGGCCAGCCAGTGCTGACCAGCCTAGGCACTCCCGGGGCGCAGTGACATGTGTGCCCTGGCCTGGCAGGACTGAGACTCTGTTCCCTCACGCCCTCGGGAACGCGGGCCACTCCCTGTCGGAGCAGGACATGGCCAGCAGAGCCAGCTTCCTGGGGTGCGGTGGAGGGTGGGGACCCCAAGGGATCTGGCCCGGCTCCAGGACCCTCCCAAGCAGGACTCTTCCGCCTCTTGGCCTTGACAGAGCTGTGGACAACAGAATCGTCTTCTCTCGCCTCCTGCTCCATTATTAGTCCACGCTGAGACTCCACAGCCCTGGCCTTCCCAGGGAGAGGGGTGCGGGACGGAGGCCTGGGGGGGCTCTGGTTCCCAGCCTCCCCCTTGTCCGGGAAGCAAACAGTGGGGCAGAGTTAGGTGTTCGTGTGGGTCCCGCGCCTTAAACAGTGAATAACCTAATGCAATTACTCCAGACAAGAGGTCGGCTGGTTCCGGGTCTTAATGGGAAGGAGAGGGGACTGATTCACCCTGGTGGGAGGGTCTGCTCGGGGTTGAGGCAGAGAAGGGCTGTCGGGTGTGGCCTGAGCACCAGCGGGGCCCTCGGGGGGCCGTATCCAGCCTCGCAGTGCAGCTGGTGTGGGCCCCTGGCCAGCGTCTGTCTTCACAGTAAGCTCTCAGCATCATAGTAATCTGGGGGGCGGGGGGGAGCACCTCATCTTGACTCTCTCCTGCCTCAGGGGACCCCAAGGAGGGAGAGGGAAGGGGACAGGCCAGTGGCCTGCAGCAGTGACAGTACCCCCGCCCTCAGGGGAACAGGACCCTCCCGATCCATCCCTAGGCCTGGACCCTCCTGCCCACACACCCTGCCCCTACCTGAAGCCGGGGGTACATCCACACCCACAGTCCCCGTGGCGCTGGGGGGTGGAGGTGGGGGCACGGCTCTCCTGGGATGGGGGTGAGAAAAGAAATGCCCCTATCAATCAGAAGTATCCTCTGCGGTTAGACCCACAATGATCACCTCCCCTCCCCTCCAACCCCACCCCCAGCCCCAAGACAGCTTTTCCAGCCCAGCCCTCCGCCTCACTTACACCCCCCTTCTCCTGGCCGGAGGGCGCGGCGGGGTCCTGGGAGCCTCCTGCAGGGGGCGCTGTGGGGCAGGGGGCAGGAAAGGCCCTGGCCAGAGCGGCAGGAGGCCCAGCGCGGGCGGCGGGCCGGGCAGGTAGTGGTGGTGGAACACCACAGGCCCTTCCTCCTGGGCCTCCGGCTCCTCGTCCTCCTCACTCTCCTCCACGAGGACCTGGGGTTGTGCGAGAGGGGAGGGGAGATGGTGACACAGGGTCGGGCTCTCCCCAGCCCCACTCCTCTGCCTCTAAATTATCTTTCCAGACACGCATCGCATCGTCAAATGGTGGTTGATGTTGGCTCCCTGCAAGCAGGCACTCGGGGGACATTTTGCAGGCGGGAAGCCTGAGGCTCGAAGAGCTTGAGCCGCTGGGCTAAGGTCACCCAGCTAATAAGAGGGGAGCGGGGACCGGGAGAATCCAGGTTCGGCTCCGGAGCGGGGGTGAGGGCCCAGGCCCTGGAGCCGCTCCTCCCTGGGCCGCTGAGGGCTCTGCCCGCCTGGGTGGTGGCCACACCCTCGCCTCCAGCCATCAAGCCCCATGTGGCTGCCCACGGCTGGTTCTAAGGCCTCCTGCCCCTCCCCGAGCCTCTCCTCACGCCCAAACCCGGCGGGCACGCAGGCAGGGCACCCTCCTGCGCCAGCACAGCCACGGTGGCCTGGTGTTTGTGGTCATTCATTTATTCACTGGCTTCTCAGCGAACATCAGCCCCTAAGTGCCAGGCGCCTGCAGCCCAGGGGGGGACACACAGCAGGGACGCCTCCTTGAAAGCAAGGCCTGAGGGGTCTGGATGAGGGAGCCCCACCCCCACCCCACGGAGACTGGCACAGACCCAGCCGGAGAGGGGCGGGCTGACTTCCTGCCCCTTTCACCTGGTCCTCTCTCTCAGGGGATCCCCCAGGTGGATCCCACCCCCGGACCTGCAGGTGGGCACCCCGGGGGTGGGGGAGAGCTCCCCCCCATTCCCCCCCCCCCAGCCTCGCACCTGGGGGCCAGGGAAGGCGGGCCAGGGGTTGAGCGCTGCTGCCACCAGGCGACCCAGGATCAGCTGGTGCATCTGCGCGTTCTGCAGCAGCAGCAGCTCCATCAGGTCTAGGGGGCCGAGGTTCAGCGGGCTCAGCCCCCAGCCTCTGCCCCCCCAGCCTCTGCCCCCACCCCAGCCTCTGCCCCCACCCCAGCCTCTGCCCCACCCCAGCCCTCTGCCCCCCCCAGCCTCTGCCCCCACCCCAGCCCTCTGCTCCCACCCCAGCCTCTGCCCCACCCCAGCCCTCTGCCCCCCCCAGCCTCTGCCCCCACCCCAGCCTCTGCCCCCCCTCAGCCCTCTGCCCCCCCCAGCCTCTGCCCCCCCCCCCAGGGCCTTCCCCCCTCTACACCCAGCTCTGGGGCGCAGGAGAGGGTGGTGATGCAGCCCCAGTGCCCAGGCCGGTGCGGGGGAGGGAGGTACAGGGAGCCGGGAGTCTCACCCTCCTTCACGCGTCCTGGCTGCGGGGGTGGCGGTGGGACGGCCCACGGGAGGGGCTGCAGGACCGTCACCCAGGGCTGGGGAACGGGGGACTCAGCCAGGCCAAGCGGAGGACGGATTAGGGGTCCAGCCCCTCGCCCCCTCATGCACACCCCCCCCCCTTCGCTGCCTCCCTAACCCCGCAGGGGCTCTAATCCCCCTCGGCGCCCCCTTGGCCTCCCCGCTCCTGCCAAGTCTCTCCCCCTCCAGCTGGGGTCGCTCTCCTCCTCTCATCCCCCCCTCACCCCCTCCACGGTTCGGACCCCTCCCGCCCACCCCAGACCCTCCCCGGGCTCCCGGCCTAGGCAGCCTCTGCCCGGCTCAGCCTCACCACGGGGGCCGCGCTTGGCAGCGGGGGGTCACCCCCGCGCCCTCCGGTCCCAGAGGCCATGGCCACGGCCTTAGTCAGGGTTACCTTGTCAGGGTTACCTTGTCAGGGTTACCTTGTCAGGGTTACCTTGGCGACGGGACGCCAAGCCTCCTCCCGCCAGAGCGGTCCCGCCCCGCCCCGCCCGCTCCGGGGCCTGGGGCGTTGGCTAAGTCGTCACCTTCAGCTCTCCGTCCTCCACCTCCAAGGGCCTGGGGTCCCCAGGACCCACCCCCACCAGAGGCCCGATGTCCGCCCCCAAACCCCCAGCTCCGGGCGGGGCTGGGTCTCGTGTCTTATTCCTCCCGCAACTCCAGACCCTTACGCACCCCCCGCCCCCAGCCCCCAGCCTCTGACCTGGGGGCTCCTGTTTGGTGAGTGAATGAGCGGCTGGAGAGGCTGGCCCCAACTCAAGACACTGTTTTCCGGTCCCAAAGCCCCACTGACTTAGAATCTTGATGAATCAGGAATAGAGTTCTGTAGGATCAGGCGGGAGGAGGGGCGGGGCAGGGAGGTGGGCAGAGGATCTGCTGTCTGTCGCTCTGAGTCAGAGGGGCATCCTTGGGCCAAGGGTGGTTTCTGGAGCAGACCATGGAAGGAAGCACCAACCGAGTTCACGGAAGGGTTGGCCTCTTACCCACCCCCACCCCCACCCCCTTCCCCTTTGTCTGCTCCCTGCTCCTTGGCCAGGGCGGAGAAGCTGGGAGTTGAGCAGCAGGGCCCATTATTGTCCCCCATCCTGGAAAACTTACCAAAGCGTGCATTCTTTGACAGGAAGTTACCAAAGTCTTCTTTGCTCAAGAACAGGTGAGCGGGGAGATCTATTTCGGTAGCTGTGAACTTCGTAAGATAGGCCCTGAGCAGCAGTCAAGGAAAATCAGGACAGGAAGCTGGGATTAGCACCCGGTGGTTTGCCCTGCCCCCACCCCCGCGTCTGTTCAGCAGCCCTTCCCGGCAGTCCTGGCCCCGGCGTCTAAAATCAGAATGACCGGTTCCACCTCCTCCTTCGTGCCTCTGTCCCTGTCTCCAGGGGAGGGGGGAGGGGGTGTCTGTGGCAGCACATTCGCTGCCCTTGTGGGTCTAATGGCTTCAACGGCCGCCAACAAACAGGATGGGGCCCGGTGGTCACAGGCCCGGTGAGTGGGAGGACACCTTTCCCTCTCCAGCCTCTTCCAGGGAGAAAGACACGCCAGTCCTTGAGCTGACCATCAGCTGCCTCGACCCAGGAGGGGCCCGTGTGTGCCAGGCGCCTTCTGAACACAGGACACGGCAGTGTGGCCTCCTGGGTCCAGCGGTGTTGGGAGTGGAGACCCGCCATGAAAAGAGAGCCAAGATACAAGACTGTGCACAGTCACCCGTGGATCCTGAAGGGGGAGGACTCATCACTGAGGGATGAGTTCTGAGGGAGGGGGAGGGGGCCAAGTAGTGTGGGTGGAGCGGGCACCCAGGCTGGGGACACGGCCAGCAAAGGTGCAGGTGCAGGAGTGGGCAGGGCCTGTGATGACCCAGTGAGTCCAACTGCCTGGCTGAGCCGGAGGAGCTGAGCAACAGGAGGTCCCAGCAGCCCAGGCAGAGACAGGCCAGGCTCCGAGGCCTGGTGACGGGACTTAGGGTTCACCGTGTGGGTAATGGAGAGCTCTGGGTGGGATGTGAGCACGGGAGAAATAAGGGGCTCTCTCCCTGTCCGCCCCCAGGCTGCTGAGAACGCCAGGCCAAAGCACTCTTAGGATAAAGGTGTGTTTGGTGAAGTGAAACCCTGCAATCAACACTAAAGAAAATTGACCTAGGAATATAGTGGTCACTGAAGTAAGCCGAGGCAACCTAGAGGCAGGGAGGCCAGCAAGGAGGCCCTCTCCCTCCTCCCTCTGAAGGGAGCCCAGAGCAGGCTGGAGGTGACTGAGGGAAGCTGGCAGGAAGGGCTGACGGTTCAATACCTCGGGTAGAAGATTGCCCGTGAACCCTACACGAATCTTGTGCTTCAGAAGACAGGGCTGAACGAAAACGATCCTGCTTCTATTCAGTCCGAGTTCTTGGTCAGAGGAAGCGGAAGCATTTGCTATTTGAAGAAAGGAAAAGCTACCCACTTCTCTGCCAGAGCTATTTTACTTGTGGAAGATCCAGCCTCAGCCCAACCGTGGAGCTACTCGCCCCGCCCACTATTCTTTCCTTTGAGCCGTGGGCCACTCCACCTATTTCCTTTTCAGGTTTTCTGTTTGTTTTTTTGTTGTGGCGGATTGTTTTTAGTCTCCCGAGATAACATGTACCCAAAGTCCTTGGGTAGATCTTGCCTTGGTAAGATCTATTCCTGGGAGGAAGCGAAACATGGAAAAAGGTCTCTCATCAAATGTGGTCATCACAGTTTTCTTTAAGAGGTGAACATCGAACGTTACCCCAGGCCTATTAATAGAGGAATGTGTATGTAAAATCCAGGGAGTTGACAGGACTGGGAAAATGAGCTCCCGCCTTACTCCCCCAGAAAAGGAGAGAAAAGGGCCGCGCCTAAGAATCCCCCTGGAAACTTCCCTGCTTCTCTCGGTACCGGTGAGGATCCTGCACCCAGCAGAGATGGCCCAGCCGTGGGCCCTTTTCTTGGGCTCAGTCCCTCAAGAGGCACAAACTGGAAGGCATTAGACCAGTGGTCGGCAAACTCATTAATCAAACAGAGCCAATGTCAACAGTACGACGATTGAAATTTCTTTTGAGAGCCAAATTTTTAAAACTTAAACTTCTTCTAATGCCCCTTCTTTGAAATAGACTCGCCCAGGCCGTGGTATTTTGTGGAAGAGCCACACTCAAGGGGCCAAAGAGCTGCATGTGGCTCTCGAGCCGCAGTTTGCTGACCACGGAGCCAGACTCTGAGGGTTGGAGGAAAGGAGTTGAATGCCTGGGCATGGTGAAGGAGCCATGAAAGCACACCAGTGGAGACTGGTGTATATCCTATATAATAAAAGGCTAATATGCAAATTGTCCCCTCGACCAGGTGTTCGACCAGCAGGCAGGCTGAACAAACATCCATGCACGAATTCATGCACCAGGCCTCTAATATATATATATATATATATATATATATATATATATATATATATATATACACACACACACACACACACACACACACACTGAGTGGCCAGATTATTATGCATTCTGGCCATCAGTGTAGAGGATCCTGAGCAGAGAGATGTTACTTTTTAAAAATGTTTTTTAATTGATTTCAGAGAGGAAGGAAGAGGAAGCGAGAGAAAGAAACATCAGTGATGAGACAGAACCATTGATTGGCTGCCTCCCACATGCCCCACACTGAGGATTGAACCTGCAACCCAGGCATGTGCCCTGACGGGGAATCGAACCTTGATCTCCAGGTTCACAGGTCGACACCCAACCACTGAGCCACACCGGCCAGGCGAGATTGCTTTCTTTTGTATTAATACATATACGTCCCGAGAGGACTAAGATGGGCCCTCCTTCAGCTTTTGGACCAACCACTGTGGCCAAGAAGATTGGCTAAGCCCAGGCAACATGGCCCTGTCTGTGGCTGGGCCAGGGTGGCAATCCTGCAGCGGCGACCCCACCAGAATCGCACATTTGAAGCAGGGACCCTTCCCCAAAGGAAAGAGGAGAATTCTCACAAGAAGGAGTGTTCATCCCTCTGTGGTTGTGAGAAAAAGTCATATTTAACATACAGCTTTGTTCTCCAATCAGCCCCTTTCCTAAACCAAAGGACACCTTGTGCAGATTAGAAAAATGAGCCCCTCCTTCTAGACCTTTCGCTACCATCTGCTAGAAAATTGTCATTTTACATGCACGAAGCTAGAAGGGCGACAAACGTGATTGGTGCCTAGAATTGTGCAGTGGACACCGGACAACCAGAGGCAGCAGCCCTGCCCCCACATGCTGCAAGGTCCTTCAGCTCCTTCCATCCCTCACTAGAGAGTCTTACCCCGCAGGGCGCCGGGCAGAGGCGAGGCAGAGGCCAGAGCCGTACCTGGGAATGCCAGCTGCCTCCCGCCACCTCTCCTCAGAAGAGGAAGGAGCAGAGTGCTAGCAGGGGGACAGCGGCCAGGCGTGCCAGACAGGGGCCATCAGCAGAGCCAACAAGCCGCAGCAGGGCCAGGAGAGAGGGGCAGCTTTGGGGAGACCCCTTGGGAGGGATCTGAGACAAAATGTTTGCTTTTCCGCCGAGTGTTAGAAGCAGCAGACCCTGGATGGATTAGCAGCCAAGCTCCAGGGAAGCGTCAGGCCAGTGAGCCCAGCAGGATAGAGAACGGCTTAGACGATGCCAAGCTCCCGCCTTGGCCCAGAAGACACCCCCCTGAGTGTGTGAGGTGATGCTCAAACCACAGCTCAAACCACGGCCCCCAAGGAGGTCCACCTGCGAGGCTGTGTCCACACAGAATCCCTGGGTGGGGGTGCTATTAGGCCCACCCCCAGGATGGAGGGTCACCCCTCCCCAGGTCTCCCAGGACCCCCCTCAAAGCCCACTCTGACTGGACTCAGCTCTGCTGAGGCTCTGGCTGCCAGAAAAGACAGACTCAGGGATGAGCAGGGGAGACTTGGGGAAAGATGGGGTTCTGTATCTCCTGGGCAGGCGCTGGTGGGAGAGCTGTGAGATGGGGCTTTTCACAGCTGCTCCACTAGGGGTCACCACAGCCCCAGAGTGCAGGGAGGTGGGCTAAAGCAGCCGCCTCCCTCCCCCACCACAGCCCCTCCCCAAGCTCCGAGGGACAGATGGCTAGCCAGTGGGGGGGAGGGAGGGGAGGTGGAGAAATGACCCTTGAGACTGGTGTGTGTGTGTGTGTGTGTGTTTTGGTGTGGTGTGATGTGTGTGTGTGTGTGTGTGTGTGTGTGTGTTTGGGTGTGATATGGTATTTTTGTGTTTGGGTGGGTGTGATGTGTAGGT